TTTAGACTCTGGATGGATGGTAGCCTCGTCATCAGAGTGTCTAGGTAGCTTGCTGTCTGTTCCTTCAAACCGATTTACTAAGCAGCTGTTGATCTGAGGTAGATCACCCTGGCAGAACTCATTATTGATTTTGTCAATGAGTTCCTTGAGAACCGATGGTATTGCCTGTGGCTTTTCAGATGACTTGGAACCTGGGTAATCATACCTTTCCCCATATGTTAGGCAGGAGCGGTCGTTCTCAACTTTGAAGTGACTGCTGTCCTTAACAAAAAGTTCTCCTAAATCATTTGCTGTTTGCTGATCAATGTAGTCATCTTTGAACATTTCCACAGGTTTCTGCTCATGATTGGATAGCTGCACAGGGACTGTAGGGACTGGAGAACGAAGGTGCTGAGTAGGAGGTCCTGGATGCAATGGGGTGGGAGGAATGCAGGGGCCAGGATTATGCAATGGCTGTAATGAGTCTAAGGATTGTTTCAATTCACTTATGCCTGCAGCTGCAGTGTGCTCATTGGCACAGAGTACAGTGAGCTGTTCAGAGATGTCCTTCAGAAACTGCTCAGATGAAGCTGAGGGTGAGGATGGTTCTGTAGATGGTCTGGATGACAGAAGTTTCAGGTCCTTCTGAAGTTCGGCAATATTAGTATTGATTGATTCTAATGATTTGTCCCTGAAGCTTTATTTCATTATTTAGCCCATTAAGGGAGTTCTCTTTAAGAAGCAGGTGTTGAAGGTGAACGTCGAACTGGGAGAGAGTGTCAAGGTTCCTAGAGAACTGTTCGAAGTCAAATTTTTCAAGAGCTGAGCCTGCTGAGCTTGCTGATGCCACGAGTGCACTGACAGTTTCGAGATTCTTAACAGCTGTAGATGCTTCAAAATCTGAGTTGGCCTGTTGCAAAGCCCTTGTGTTCCTGCAGCTGTAACAAATTCACCTCTCTGTTTCTTCAGTGTTGATACTGGTGCCACGAAGCAGTATGGGCACAGCCATTCTACCATGGAGTTGATAGCTGACCTCGTTATACCCTTCATAGACAAGCAGTCCACATGCCACTCTTGATGACACTTAGAACAGTCAATGAGGTAAACTTTACCGTTAAAAGAGCGTTGACATGGACATTTCTTCTTGTCCCTATGTTTCCTGTTTTCCTGATCTTCATTGTCCACTGTAGATTCAGCTAAAATGTTGCGAGACAAGCTATTAGATGTTTTAGGAGTACCTGAATTCTTCCTATTTGTCGCCATTCTCAAATCAAATATAAGTAATACTGACCAAATAGATCCGACTTGGGGTCGGCTCCCGTTAAGTGTTTTGTTTTGGAGGGGATTAGGACTTCAGAGTTGATGACCCTAGTAAAGTGTAGATGACCCTAATAGAGTGTAGATGACCCTTAGCTTAGTACGCCCCTTCGGGGGAGTTGTAACATACCATTCCTGAACACTCAAATTATTTGTTATATAGTAGTGTTGAAAGTATTAAAAAAATCGAATATTAATCTAGCAAGCTAGTCAAGGTTTAATATATGTTATAAGATAAGATGTTATAAAATAAAACATGCATGTTACATGTGGATAGAAGGATAGAAGGATACAAGGATACAAGGATACAAAAGTGATAATTATTTTATTGAATTCACAATAGTTATAATTCTGAAATAATTTAAGGTTACACAATTCTAGTTATTTACAAATGTGTAGGGATAAAATAGAAATGTTTTATAATACTATTTTTGAGGTCCTATAGCATTATGCATTGGCCAGTATTTGAGTGGAAATCTGGGCTCTTATAGTAGGCTGTAAAATTTTCGTTCACAGAGAGAATTGAATGGATTGCTCTTGCTGTGGCAGTAAATTTTGTAGGGTCTAGAGTTTTATCTGATAGCAAACCGGCTAGGTCAGTAATATTTTTGGGATGGAAGTTAAATTTTTCTCTAACTGAGGAGTAGAGTAAACAGTCAGTTAGAACATGAATTTTGTCCTCAATAGGCTTAAGCCCCTTGCTGAAAAAGCAAAAAGTGCACCATCGATGTTCTCTTGGTACTAGGGGGGTTTCGTAACGGCCCCTCTCAATGTAAAGATTGTGGCAGCTAATACGAAACCTTGTAAGCTTTTCCGAGCATCGGGGATCTTAACCACTCCTAAGTATGTTTCTGGTTGAAAATCATGTTTAATTTGATTGTAGAATTCTAATTTAGGTGAGGATGCCTTGGCAGATTTCCAGGTATCCACAAATTCTTCCCTCATGTTGTGACTGATTTGGGTAGAGAGCTTGGATTTTGAAGAGGATGAGTGGGGGAAGTTATATTTGGTGAGAAGATTAGAGATGTTGGTGTACCAAGGAAGGCCCAGCATAATCTGCTCGTGAAATGCAGCGGAGAGAAGTTCATTTTCAGTGCTTTCAAGGCGACTATAGAAATCTACTGCAAGTTTGCAGGCTTCAAAGAAGAGGGGGTGGCGCCCACTTTCGCCCCAGCAGCCTATATTTGATGCTTTTGAATGGACAGACAAGGACCACTTGATAAACTTAAGGTGGAATCTTTCATAGTGGTCTTGTGAGATGTACCTGAGAGTATGCTGGGGGTTGGCTTTGCTATCTGTTTTGGAGAGGTATCTCATGGTTTAATTAATTTATGTAATTTGACAGATTGACATAACTTCGACATATAGCCTCGAACAGAAACCATAAGAAAAACTTGTTTAGTTTTGGATACTTTAATTTTTTTGGGTTAAATATTTAAATTTGTTTTCAGAGTTCTTCACGTAGACTTATCAGATCCCTAGAATGTTTTTATATTATATTTGTGTAAAGTTTGATCAATGAAACAAGAAATTTCAATGAAACAAGAAATTTAATTTTAGCACATTTTACAGAGTAAAAAGATGTAAAACAATTCATAAAATATAATGCCCATTTGGTGTATGACTTTTTGTCCTTGACTGCTTGTTTGGTTTTGGAAGGACAGGTAACTAACGGGGCAAGGAATGCGCGTGCCTGGGAGCTTTTGCACACACCAAAACGCTAGTTCAGTTAAGTTTTTAGAGACAAGGCTCACATTAGGACTGTACGAAAAATTGTTAGCAGACATTAGGGGTTCTGTTTAAAGTTTTTACTATCTAGGTTGCAGTCTTGTTGTGACAAAAAGTCTACACTAAAACATGCTTGATTTTATATTGTGTAGTTCAAGGATTAAAAATGCACCTTCAAGGTGGATATTGGAGAGCAGGCGAAAGATTATGGCTTAAATTTATCAATGGTTATAATAAGCTATAAATATTTTAAACTATACAATGCTAATTAAAAATTTCTTTATACTTCATTCTCAAATTAAAATTTTAAAATTCAAAAATATACATTCATTTTATTAAAACTTTCTCACACGTACTTTACGCACAGGACAAGACTTGGAAAACAGTAGCCTAGGGTAATTTAAATTTAGATGTGTGTCGTGTGACCAGCCAGTTATAATGTTTGGAAAATAATATTTGTGCAGTCAAAGTCTTTTACGGTCCAATCAAGCAGGGCGTGGTTATGTTGATTAGCTAGTAGCGCACGTTTTAGCTTTCCTCGCAAGCACATTACACTAGTAGTAAAATCAGTCATTCTGAACTTTGGGGTTAAGATGTTAAAAATTTTGGTTGATCTAGTGTTGTGATTGTCAGGTGGGTCTGCCTGACAGATTAGAAGGCAGGGTTTCCTTGATGAACATGTGTAACCCTCATGTAAGGATATTTTAGCACGGAATTTCATTATCTTGTAGAGCTCGAGGTAACTGTGGTATGTATATAGATTTTGTATAGCTAGAATATTATTATGCTTAAATATCGGTTTGGTGTGCTCTTTTATGAAGAATTTTTGGTCTAGTTTCTGGTGTCCTATAGGCCTAGTACGTGCACAAGTCTTAAAACTTATCAAGGTACGCCAGTCTATCACCAAATAGTACTCTGAGACAGTACTTCTGAGCAGTAAATAATGAGCTTATACGTTGCTTCGCTGCCCCACCCCATACAGATATACAGTAGGAAAGATGTGATTCGAACAGGGTATAATATAATTGTTGGTGTAGAAATTCTGGAAGGGAGCAGCGGAGTCTACATAAAGTGGATGTGGAATGATTTAGATAATAAAAAAAATTTAATTTTGAAGTGTAGAAATTGTTAAAATTTTTAACTTTGTACTCAATTACTGATGTCTTATAACGTTTTAACGGGGTGTAATTTTGTTAGGTAGGTATTTAAAATTATTAGTCTTTTGGAAATTGAAGTTTTGAACTTTACTATTTATTGTTAATAAAATGCTCATTGTAGCCAGTTATTTTAAGATTTTCATCATCAATTGTAATATGGAGATGAGGACTTACAAACTATTTAACTAGCATTCTTGAGTCGTATCGACTAGATCTTGTAAGGTCAATCAATTTTGTAAGGTCAAAGGTATTTGAAGTCTTTTTGTAAAACAAGTATCTATCCCAGTGGCGTAACGAAAGGCCCTGCTGACCCCGCTGTGCAGGGGGGCGCCGTCTTAGGGGGCGCCAAATCGTCGTTTGAATGTGGGACAATTTCGAAACCTTAACTAAAGTACTAGCAAAACTGCGCGTTTTGCTCTAGATACAAACTTTTTTAGAGATTTTACCGGCGTATTCTCTAAAATCACCTAATTTGTTCAATTTTAGGGAGGGGCACCAAAAGGGGAGGAGGCGCCAACAGGGGGGCGCTTTTTTCGGCAGGGGGCGCCAACAGGCAACGTTACGCCACTGATCTATCCCGACCAAAAATATTTACAATTTATAACTGATAGTAATTAGCTGATTCACGATGCAAATGTCAATTCTTCTGTCTTCGCAACTTAGCGCTGCCATGCCCAGTGCAGTGTGCATTGTGATAAATGTAATTCAATAATAACTTTTGGGCATACATCTTTGCTTAATCACAGAGTCCCGATAAACAGAGAGTGGCTAAATTGGTGGTTTTACTTATAATAGCACAGAAAATATAGAAAATTCTTTAGTCTTAAGTAGTGAAGAAACGAGAGATTGATCTTCTGATCCTTACACTTCTAATATCGCTGGACATACATGTCACCAACTTCAAATATCACATGCATGTCAAAACTTCAAATATAACTGGACATACATGTCACAAACTTCAAATATCACATACATGCCAGGTGTTTAAGTGCTGTGTAAGGCATGTAAGCCAATATCTTTCTTTTCTATTACTCTAGATGCCAGTCTAAAGATAAAACCTACTCTGCAGAGCCGTGACTGGTGACAGAGCTTAACTTTTTATGCTCAGTTTCAAACTATTGTTCACTCGATTAAAATGTCTACCCTTCCACTTTGGATTCATTCTTGATTTAATGTGGCTTTGTCTATTAAGATTTTATTTCTAAGATACCATTTTTTGAAGGACACATGGCAAAGGGGAAAGGGAAAGCCATTAAAACACCACACGGTGCTTTAAAGCGCTCAGGAAAGCCGTTAGATGATTATGAACCAGAACCTCTGTTTTACGATAAAGAAGAAAAGATGTTGGCTTCATTGGTGAGTTTTATTAACTTAGGAACAATTTAGAGCTGATTATTTGTTTAAATTGATTATTTGTTTAAATTGAGAGCCAAACTAAGGGTCTTGCCTCACCATCTCGATTAAATATAAACACACTAAGATTGACTACAAATTACTGAATAAGTCTTCACTTCCAGGTGTTTTTGGGGTCAGCATCCCTCTACATCTTCACTATGTATCCAGGCTTACAAGGAGGTGACTCAGGGGAGCTGATGTCCACTGCTAAAGACTTTGGAGTTTCCCATCCACCTGGTTACCCTTTGTTTACCACTATGGCTGCTATCATGATCAATCTCTTTCCCATTGGTAGCTGTGCTTGGAAGCTCAATCTAATGTCGTCTACAATTGCTGGAATAACAAATATGATGATGTTCATCAACGTTAAGAGGTTTAGTGGTTCAGATGCTGCTGGGGTGCTAGCTGCAGGCTGGTGTGGTTTTAGCAGAGTTTTCTGGATGTGGAGCATTCAGGGAGAAGTTTTCAGTTTGGTAAGTCTGCTGTCGTGTTCATTACACTTACAGTTCAAGCCTTTTGCTAGAATTCTTGTCTTAGCCTTTTGCTAGAAATCTTGTTTTCATATTGTCGATGTTAATTTAGGTAATTGTCACTGTTGCACTGAATCATGAAGCTGAATCAAATTTTTTTTCAGAGCAACTTATTTATCATGGTCATAATGTACGCTGCTTGGAGGTTTACAAATGCCGAGGGAAGAAATGGAAAATATTACGAAGCAAAACTTGGTGCTTTTCTATGTGGTTTATCGCTAACTAACCAACATACATCAGTATTATATATTTTTCCTACTGCATTATGGGTAAATTAAAATTTATTTTTTGTAATGCTTTTGGACACTTTTTAATGCTCTTGGACTCTTTTTTTTGATTTCACACTTCTTGAAAGTCGTATTAGTGACTAGAGTTTGAGAGAAACGCCATAATTTTATCTTAATTAGTTGAACTTTGAACTGTGACTTAAACTTTTATTGTTATCTAATGTCTACATGACTTTTTTCACTCAGGTCTTGTATACAATGTTTAAATACGACCTAGCAAAAACACATACACTCTTCCGAGTGGGACTCCGAGGACTAGCTGGACTCTCGCCCTACCTCCAACTTCCCATATCTTCCATCTTCTTTAATGCTAGAGTCACATGGGGCGACCACCGCTCGTTCTCTGACTTCAAGAAACATATCCTGAGAGAAGATTTCGGAACATTCCGATTGGTTAGCAGCACTGAGCAGTCCACACTGATTGATAACTTAATGGTTTACTTCAATGACTCCAGGAATGAGCTCACTATAGCTGCGTAAGTCTTTTTGTAACATTTTTATCGGTGCAAATAACACGATTATGATAGTAGACCATTCCCAACCCTTACCTTTCTATTAATAATCAAATAATTAGATTATTTTCTTTCCCTGTCGTTGTCTATCAGCTCTTTCAACTTATATGTTATATATCCAGATGGATATTGTTTGTAGTTGGAATGACAATAGCTCTGATTTGGGGTTCAAGTAAACAAAAGGAGACGATGTTAGTTTACATGGCTATGTTCGGCACATACCATATTGTTTTCGATTCACTCGCCAATATCAAGAACCCATCAGGTTAGAAAGGAGAATATTTAAAATGTTTAATTTAAAACGATAAAAATAGCCCTTGAAACAATGTTCACTTATCCGGTATCCAATTTATATATGCCTTAATGTCAATTGATTGAAGTTTAAACCAATTTTCCAGTACTATAAGTAAAGACTCATAGTCATACGTGCTAAATGCTGATTATAGACCTTTACCAAATTTATATCAGGAATATCCCACGGTGTATTGGAGAGGTTCTGGTTGCAGCCCAGTCTGGCACTGTGTTGTATTGCTGGATGTGGGGTTGGGATGGTTATTGAGTTCCTAAAGAGTAAAGCTCAGTGTCCTGCCCTGAAGTATCTGTTCCTATCCCTGGCTGTGCTTGCTATTGGTTACCAGGTTAGTTAAGTTATTATTATAGGCTACAATCATTTTTTTAATGTGATTTATGTAATTTATGTAATTTATGTAATTTATGTAATTTATGTAATTTATGTAATTTGTCTAATTTATGTAATTTATGTAATTTATGTAATTTATGTAATTTATGTAATTTATGTAATTTATGTAATTTATGTAATTTATGTAATTTATGTAATTTATTCAATTCATTTAATTTATGTAATTTATGTAATTCATGTAATTTATGTTAATTCAGTTATTATTATTAGGTTAAATTGAGATCATAAAATATCATTAATTTTATGATCTCAAAAATGTTATTACGTAAATGACGAGCTGGATTTTCAGGTGCAACACAATTATGAGGATTGCAACGAAAATGACAATCACTATTTCTGGCACTATTCTCGTCACATCCTGGACGAGTTGCCAAAACAAAGCATTCTCCTGACCTCTGGGGACTTCAGTACCAACACATTCAGATACCACACTATTGGTAACTGCTTTATTAACTATTGTAGACTGTGTACAACTCTCTAAATTATTGCAAATATCGAATAGTGATTTATCAGACTTACGAATTATTGATATGTCTTGCCTACTACCATCCAGTAACCTATGATACGTGTCAATACCAATGTAGTTGTTATTTGATAAGGTAGTTAGATGCTGTGTGTTTTGTCCTGAATAAGTGTTAAATCAATGCTGCTACCAGGTGAAGAGTACCGGACAGATGTGATGGTAATGGACATGCAGTTCATGCAAACCGACTGGTTTTACAAAATGCTCATGCCAGTAACCTTCCCTGATGTTTCATTCCCTGGTCTTTACTTGAAGCCCGGATTAGACTCCACATATCCTTTCTATAACCTCAAAACGTTCCTGGACGAAAACCTAACCAAGTGAGTGGAGAGAGCTCTTAATTTAGTTTAAATCACCTGTTACTTGTCCATCTGTGAGAAAAGCAAGACAACACGTGACTCTATTGTGACAACACGTGTTTAAAACACTCAACACGTGACTCTATTATCCGCACCAGGTATCCTGTCTACATGTGTGTAGCAGTACCAGAGGCAGAGAACAGTATTGCGGGTCACTACGAGGGATGGCCCTTTGGTATGTGTCAGAAGTTCATCAGAGTATCAGACAACGTGGACCCTCTGGAGTATGTCACTACTATTCCTGTGGTGAGCATTAAGGGGGCCGGGGGTCTTCATCAAAATATCTCGAAATCGACTTTATAGTTGTTTCTGATAGAGGGGAATAATATCTATCAGCTGCTTCTAATCCCATGGAAAAATACTGTTCCTAGCCGAAATTATCGCCTGTCAAAGGTCAGCGCTTGTGTGTAATTACGTATTGCGCGAGCGATTCTCAATCGCGTGTTCTGAAAATCGAGTCTAAAAATCTATCTTCTCCTACATTTTTTGAGCAATCACCCTCAAACTTTCAGGATATGTTCTTAGGATCAGTTAGAATAGATCTGTAGATTCAGAATTTTTAGATAGGCCTTTAAAGATTTTTAATTCGATTTTGAAAATCTTGGACCTCGATTTTTTAAAAATGTAGGAGAAAATAGATTTTTAGACTCGATTTTCAGAACACGCGATCGAAAATCGCTCGCGCAATACAATTACACATAAGCGCTGACCTCTGACCGGCGATAATTTCGGCTAGGAACAATATTTTTCCATTGGACCAAAAGCAGCTGATAGATATCACTCCCCACTATCAGAAACAACTATAAAGTCGATTTCGAGAGAATTTTGATGAAGACCCCCCCGGCCCCCTTAAAAATACAATGATATATTGAATGTTGATATACCTTACGCCTTACCTAGGCTATCCACTCCGATAATCGTTACCGATAATTATTTCCGATAATTCGTTAAAAAGGGTTATCTGTTTATCTAGATAAAACATATTTTTATCGGTATAAAAATTCACTAGAAATTACCGAAAAAACTGCCACAATACCGTAAAATTTTAAAGAAATATTAATGTTTTTTTTTAATAGTATGATAGAAGAGGTAGTTTACGTAAATGTGAGCTACACAAATGTTTATTTACATTTGTATACCTATGGAACTGTAGAACTGTAGAACTGTAGAACTGTAGAACTGTAGAAGTCTAGAGAAAGTTATTGACATTGTTATCTTGAGGCTAGGGTGCTGGCGTTCTACCTTATAACCATTCTGGAGACAGGAACGAGCATGTTACTGTTAACAAGAGTCAAAAATACCGGCAGGGCACTCAATTAAATTCCGTAAGTGTTCTAGGCGTGAAACATTGTCTTCAGGAGAAGGAATCTGTTGCTCCAAGTTATCCACAGGATAAGGAAACGGTTCACTGAATCACTTTAAATGTTTTACTGTTTCGAGGAGAATTGGTATTTGTTGCACTACTGTTCTCAGGAGAAGGAAACCGGTGGTCTACTGTTTTGAAGAGAACTGGTGCACTACTGTTCTCAGGAGAAGGAAACCGTTGGTCTACTGTTTTGAAGAGAACCAGTGCGGTACTACTTACTGTTCTCAGGAGAAGGAAACCCTTGGTCTACTGTTTTGTAGAGAACTGGTACACTACTGTTTTTAGGAGAAGGAAACCGGTGATCTACTGTTTTGAAGAGAACTGGTACACTACTGTTCTTAGGAGAAGACAAACCGTTGGTCTACTGTTTTGAAGAGAACTGGTACACTATTGTTCCCCGGAGAAGAAAACTGATGCTCTAATATTTTCAAAAGAAAGGAAGTTGTACTTTAGCAAGATTGCTGGTAAACAGTAATAAAAGTCGACAATCAGTTTTTGTGAAATTTGGAAAACATTTTGGCTTTGGCCTTCAGCAGAAAAATTATCGGTTTTATCGGTTTTATCGGTTTTTATAGATAAAACCTAAATTTTTATCTGTTTATCCAGATAAAAGATTTCATACCGATAATGGATAGCCTAGGCCCTTACCTATACTATCTCAAGCAGGGGTTTTCAGTCACGTGGATCGGAAATTGAAAACACTTTTATTTTCGCTTGAACATGTATCTTCCGCTTTGAAATGATATATCATTTCAAAGTGTATATATATACTTTGAAATTATAATTTGAAGTAATTTTCAATAATTTTCAGATAAATCTGGAACAGTATCCTCTGCCTGATCTGGACAGATACGAGTCTGAAACTTGGGAGTACCTTATGGCTAGGGTTATGTTGGAGACTTACACTAAACCTTCTGTCTGGCTCTGGAAAAAAGCCAACTCTATAAAGTAAGTATATTTGCTGTTCGAAATTCTTGGACTATATTTATTATATTATAATTGTGGGTGGCGTCGTCTGCTTACAGTGCTCAATCGGCAAGCCGAGAGCTAGATACAAAATGAAACGACCGGTTGAGTCAGACAAATGTTTCAATCATGATACAAAACCATGATATCATCAGTGACAACTGAGGTATAGGAACTAAAATCAAAATTACAAAGCTAAAATTTAACATAAACAATCACTCGTGAAACAATACTAGGGGTTAGATGTATGAGTCATTATATTATAAAAGGAATTTCCGTTTATGGCGGCATTTTGTGAGGATTTCCGTCCATGAGTTAAGTAAGTGTGGGTCAGAGGATCGAAGTAAGATTTCTAATTTCTCAGACGTGCACAGATCGCAGCTGTTCTGGCCGGCTCTGTATCCGTGTCCACGTCTGATTATTTTCCATTCGATCCTGAATTCTAACCCACGGTCTTTGAAGGACCAGATCTTCTCCGACAGTTTGGTTCTATTTCGGTACCGCTCCAGGCGAAATGATGACGTGTGCCCGTTGTACCGGTCCTTGAATGTGCCCTCCGTCATTCCGATGTAGTGGTGCTTCTCATTTTCCGTACGGAGGGTCGCCATGTATACCACAGACTTCGATAGGCACTTTCCGTCTAGTGGGCAGGAGTTCCTGGAGCGGCAGTTGCACTGCCGTGTGGTGGGTTCCTGGGTTTCCTGGTGCTGACGAAGCAACTGCTTGTTCCGGGATTTTATGAGGCATTCCATGTTTTTCATACAGCTGTATGAGACTTTTACACTGTTCCGGTTCAAGATCTTGTGTAGTGGATTGTCCTGAGGGAAGTGTTTCTCCAACAGATTGAAGAATTTCCTTCCAACATTGGTCTCCACAGTGACAGAGAAGGGGGGATTGAACCAAAGGACCCTGCGTTTCCTCCTTCTATTACGTGGTGGTTTTGCCTCGCCTGCCTGGGTGTTGTAGGTCATGCACGAGTCCATATAGCCGCTTGACTTCAAAGCATCCTCGTAGTAAGGCTTGGCGTCATCGAACACCTCCTTACAGGAAGATATGCTGTTGATTCGGTCAGCGATCATCTCCGGGATGTTGCGGATGATGGACGGTGGGTGATTTGACTGGCGGTGTACATATTTCGTTACCTTCTCCGCTTTGCGGAATGGCCGGAAGGAGCCATCCGATCGGAAGGTGACGTCGAGGAAGTCAACAGATGTGGATGGTGGGGACACAGTGATCTTCAAGCCCTCTCTCCGGAATGTAGCAAACAAATCCTTCCGAATCCGCTCCATTCTGGGGCCGGGTGTGTCTGTCAGCATCACGAGTCCATCGTCCCTATAAAGGCCGTGGGATTGTTGTGGGAGTATATCTCCGATCTGGGATAGTAGGTACACACCAACCAGCTCGCATACTTCTGCGCCGTCGGGGGCACCCATTGTTACATCGAACAGGGAGTCCTTTCTCTGCCAGGTTTCCCCTCGCGGACAGAACAAGAGGGAGAGTCGGCTGTGTTTGATGGTGTCGATGTCTTCCTCTGAGATGTTGATGTGTTCTTGTGCAAACTGGAGGGCCCTGTCTAGAAGATTCTCACTGATGGAAGGATAGAACGACTCAATGTCGAACTGGAGAAATTGGACATAGCCGGGTGTACAGTTGGTCTCGAACCAAGAAATAACCTCTCCGGTGCTCCGCCACTGGTTGACAGAGGAAGAAGTACGGAGTTGGGCGGTGAATTTCTCGAGGATTTTTTTGCTAACTCGTCCAACATCTGACTTGGCTGGATTTATCAGGCGACAAGGAAGGTTAGTAGCGAAATTTGGCTTATGGTCCTTGAGCAGTACGAATGCCTGGGACGTTTCGAAGCGTTGCATCCGTCCCTTCAGGTCTAAGCGGGCGGCGATGGAGGCTGCCTTATTCTCAATATGCTCTGCGGTGCCTGCGGGGCCTTACGATATTCTGCTGTGATGCTGGACTCAATGAGTCGTTGAGTCATTGAGTCCAGCATCACAGCAGAATATCGTAAGGCCCCCGCAGGCACCGCAGAGCATATTGAGAATAAGGCAGCCTCCATCGCCGCCCGCTTAGACCTGAAGGGACGGATGCAACGCTTCGAAACGTCCCAGGCATTCGTACTGCTCAAGGACCATAAGCCAAATTTCGCTACTAACCTTCCTTGTCGCCTGATAAATCCAGCCAAGTCAGATGTTGGACGAGTTAGCAAAAAAATCCTCGAGAAATTCACCGCCCAACTCCGTACTTCTTCCTCTGTCAACCAGTGGCGGAGCACCGGAGAGGTTATTTCTTGGTTCGAGACCAACTGTACACCCGGGCATGTCCAGTTTCTCCAGTTCGACATTGAGTCGTTCTATCCTTCCATCAGTGAGAATCTTCTAGACAGGGCCCTCCAGTTTGCACAAGAACACATCAACATCTCAGAGGAAGACATCGACACCATCAAACACAGCCGACTCTCCCTCTTGTTCTGTCCGCGAGGGGAAACCTGGCAGAGAAAGGACTCCCTGTTCGATGTAACAATGGGTGCCCCCGACGGCGCAGAAGTATGCGAGCTGGTTGGTGTGTACCTACTATCCCAGATCGGAGATATACTCCCACAACAATCCCACGGCCTTTATAGGGACGATGGACTCGTGATGCTGACAGACACACCCGGCCCCAGAATGGAGCGGATTCGGAAGGATTTGTTTGCTACATTCCGGAGAGAGGGCTTGAAGATCACTGTGTCCCCACCATCCACATCTGTTGACTTCCTCGACGTCACCTTCCGATCGGATGGCTCCTCCGGCCATTCCGCAAAGCGGAGAAGGTAACGAAATATGTACACCGCCAGTCAAATCACCCACCGTCCATCATCCGCAACATCCCGGAGATGATCGCTGACCGAATCAACAGCATATCTTCCTGTAAGGAGGTGTTCGACGACGCCAAGCCTTACTACGAGGATGCTTTGAAGTCAAGCGGCTATATGGACTCGTGCATGACCTACAACACCCAGGCAGGCGAGGCAAAACCACCACGTAATAGAAGGAGGAAACGCAGGGTCCTTTGGTTCAATCCCCCCTTCTCTGTCACTGTGGAGACCAATGTTGGAAGGAAATTCTTCAATCTGTTGGAGAAACACTTCCCTCAGGACAATCCACTACACAAGATCTTGAACCGGAACAGTGTAAAAGTCTCATACAGCTGTATGAAAAACATGGAATGCCTCATAAAATCCCGGAACAAGCAGTTGCTTCGTCAGCACCAGGAAACCCAGGAACCCACCACACGGCAGTGCAACTGCCGCTCCAGGAACTCCTGCCCACTAGACGGAAAGTGCCTATCGAAGTCTGTGGTATACATGGCGACCCTCCGTACGGAAAATGAGAAGCACCACTACATCGGAATGACGGAGGGCACATTCAAGGACCGGTACAACGGGCACACGTCATCATTTCGCCTGGAGCGGTACCGAAATAGAACCAAACTGTCGGAGAAGATCTGGTCCTTCAAAGACCGTGGGTTAGAATTCAGGATCGAATGGAAAATAATCAGACGTGGACACGGATACAGAGCCGGCCAGAACAGCTGCGATCTGTGCACGTCTGAGAAATTAGAAATCTTACTTCGATCCTCTGACCCACACTTACTTAACTCATGGACGGAAATCCTCACAAAATGCCGCCATAAACGGAAATTCCTTTTATAATATAATGACTCATACATCTAACCCCTAGTATTGTTTCACGAGTGATTGTTTATGTTAAATTTTAGCTTTGTAATTTTGATTTTAGTTCCTATACCTCAGTTGTCACTGATGATATCATGGTTTTGTATCATGATTGAAACATTTGTCTGACTCAACCGGTCGTTTCATTTTGTTTTTTATTATATTATATATATTTACAAGCCCGCGGTAACGGCATGATACAGACATACAAAGATAATTTGTTTCCCTACTCTTGCCAAGGGCAAAAAGATCATAGGGAATAAGTAATCGGGTTTGGATGACGACAAAAGTCTGCTCCTTCGCAATATAGACCACTCCCCTATAATTAAGTGTATAGGAAGCGTCTGTTATGCTGCGCGCGACGCTAGCCAGGTGTTAATTAATTGCATCGAAATTCCTCCTTCGCAAAGTTATTTTCCGCAATTTTCTGGATTCATTTATTGTTGATGCGCGGCGCTGCATTGGTCAAATAAATCGTCAATTTATACCATGCACGAACCCACTTATTTATAAAAACATAGTATGTAAATATGGTGCACTTTTTTTTCCAGTCACACTTTTCACTCAAAAGAATTAATGGTACATGGTAGGGAAAATTGATCGTGCGTGGTTTAACCGCGGCGAAATTCTTGTTAGAATTATAAAACAGATTCTATTACCTTAGTTCCCAAAAATTTGTGTGCCATTATATTGAGCACAATTTATTTGAGCCCGAAAAATTTGGGCAGAAAATTTGAACTCATTTGGGCGACCGAAAATTTGGGCACAAATTCTTCGAAAAATGAACGATTTTCCACTAAAATTTCAGTTAGATATTTGCCTTAGTTCATTATTATTCTTTATTATTCCAGTCATTTTGCTTTCAATTTTAAGCATGTAGGTGGTAGTCTGAGTTGTTTCACATTATGAAATTTACGATCTGCCCAGTATTATTAAGAAACTGTTTACACCATTAAAATATTCAAAACCCCTAAAAGAAATCAAGTCATCCTAAAATGGTGATCAGTACAGATCAAGACAGCTAGAGTTAAAATTTGTTTCTCCAAGCAACTCTATCATCGGCTAATATCTTAAGCTTATTAAGATCATTCAAAGAGTTAAGTTTTAAACCTCTACGGGTCAAATCATTCACAATAATCTTGAACAAATTCTTACGATGCGCACCGACGCGCCCTTTACAGTTTGTTGTGACAGCAAACTTTAACTAATGCAGCGGGGGAGTCATCAGCACTACGCAAGATATGACCTAGGAGCTTCCACCTTGCTTTATAAGGGACACGATCTGATAGCTTTACTGAGTTACATCTTAGGTATAAGTTTGCATTGGATATTGTTCCATGAGGCCAATAAATGTTCAGTAATGATCTAAGGTGTTTTCTATGGAAAATGTCTAGTTTTTCTAGTGACTTTGCAGTAGGACACCAACTACTGCAATTGTACATGATGATTGATACAATTTGGGCTTCGTATACTGCCCAGTAACACTAAAAAATACAGTGATGATGGCACAGTACAAAATGATAGATATGCATTAATACACTGGACTTACCAGGGAGAAGAGGAAGACCCCAAAGCAATCTATTCTCGCTGATTGTGCATGATTTATGTAAAAGAAATCTTTATTTAAATAATATCTTTGACCTGCATTATCTCCGTAATTTGAGTTATGACAAGAGATATTGGCGGAAATTACAATGAAGTTTTTAATTTTTAGTTTTTGTTTTAGGGAAAGATTAGACTTGGGCGTTGTTTTTTAAACTATCCCTTGTTTAGAACTTTGATTTAATAATATGCATTATACAATAGTGATATTTAGTCTCTCAATCAGATAGTTTAGTCTACTTACACTCAGCATATCTTATCATACCCCTTTCACATACAATTATCATTATGACGCCTCACCAGATGGTCGAAAGGTTTGGAAGAAAATTAGAAGGTTTACATCATGATCTATCAAACTAAGCGGCACATACGCTTAGCTTTGAGGTATCCGTACCTCTAGCCATTTGTTTTATTAGTAGCTGTTAGCTATTCCAGTTATTTCTATTCATTTAAAATATAAGCCTTTTTACTTGGTCAAGCCATGAATGACGGATTAGAAAACTAAAATTTCAAATATTATTTCACTTGGATATGAAGAAAAAGCCATCTTTCTATAGATTTCAGGGCCACAGGCCAAATGCCAAAAGTTTGGTTAGCAAAAAATTTAGCAGACGGAAAAGATTTATGCAATTAATTTGGTCTGCAAAAAATTTGGGCGAGAGGCCCGCTCAAATTTTTTGTCGCCCAAATTTTTGGGAATTAAGGTATGTTAAATAAGTTTTAATTTTTTTTTCATTCTGTTGTATTATTTTAAAATCATTTTAGTGGAGATGATGGTTAAGAACAGGAAACACGTGTTTGACATGATGGAAAAGGGACTTGTCTCTCAGAACATTGTAAGTATTATATACCACTGCCGTGAATAACTGGCCTATAAATTTGTAATTATCTCGTGATTTAAAGCTTTTAGCGATTAGAAGTCTGTGGTTGCAGCATAAAGAAAATTTGTGAAATAAAGAAAATTTGTGGAATGATAAATGAACTTTAATTTAGATTATTTATAGTCGTAATCCCGTTCTTGTATATTGTAAGAAAACTGTACGGTTACAGAATTGAACTTGTGTATTTTCATATGCACTACACTTACATACATACATACATGTTACATACATACATGTTACATAGTAAGGTCTCCTCCTAGTCGTTGGAGTGGCCTGCATCACACACATCGCGTTGACGGCGTAACATATGTCTCCACTATACTCGGTTGGTAGCCAAAGCTTCTGTTGTGTTGTTGTCGATGTTTTCAACACCTGTAAACTTAGCAGCATTTTCGAGTACGCAGGTCTTCCAGTCCCTTGACCTCTTTCCATAATTTGGCTTCCAGTTCAACAGAAACCTCGGTAGTCTAGAGTCTGGCATTCTAACTACATGTCCATACCAACGTAGCCTGGCAGCACTGATGAAAGTCTCAACTGACTTGATGCCAGCCCTCCTAAGAACTTCTTCGTTGGACACATGAAAGAACTGCACTTACACTGTTACTATTATACAGTATGCGTGTGTACTTGCGATATACGATCTGAATCGTCGAATTCTAAAATTTATAACGTGCTCAATTCACAATGGAACATATTGGCAGATCTTGAATGCTAAATTGACATTGTCATGCAAAATGAAAATATGAATTATATCTGGCTTCAGTTTTATATAATAACGTGCAGCTGTTTCCCTTGTTAATCTGGTATTTGAAAAAAAAACAAAAACACAAAATCAAAATATCTCGTAAAATATGCTTGTGACCATTTTTAACCCTATCTTTTCAGATATACTATATCTCACCCATGGAGAAGAATTTAGGTCACCTAGCTCTGATCCTGTACAGGTTAACGAATGGTGCTGACAAAGAAAAGGGCACATACTGGCAAGAAGAATGCAAGAAGTACTGGAGTAACTACGTGAAATGGCACAGGGACTCTGTAAACGGTAAAGACAGCATGTGGGGCACAATCACCTCCGTTATTGACATGAAAGACTTCTCTTCTCTCTAGCTGATCAAGTAACTGTACATGGGTGGATGATATTGTTAAGTTATTTTAGTTAGTATTATGTTATCTAGGAATATCAAGCCTTTCCTTTATTTCTACTATAGTTGTTTTGATGCGCATGAATTATTTCCCCTACAATAATGTTGATATAATATGACTAATAATGACTTATAACCTGGCGAATGTAATTTGTAACGTTTCCATCTTCATGCATGAGTGATTATTCCTGACGAACAGTAAGTTTGCAAGGGCTTTAATATTTCTAATAAAAGGCTGTATAAAGTGATCAAATGAATATTAATGATACAGAAATACCAAGCTAAGAAATTTTGGATTATTTATATTGATATTATAGATAACTAGAAAAGCCGTGGTCACAGGGAGGAAGCTAGTCAGCTTTTATCGCATTAAAAAACATCCGTCACAACCGAAGATACAGCCGATTAAAATGTAGTTCGCACTGAACACAACGTAATTACATCAAAACGGATCAAAATGTCGCTCGCCAATCTTTGCACGTGCACGTGCGTGTAGCAATCCTTGTTACCATGGTTACTATGCAATTACTTATTTTCATATAATTTGCACGTGGGCGGTTGTACAGACAGACAGACAGCATTAATAATTCTTTGAATTATAATATAGAGACTAGAAAGCCCGTGGTCACAGGGAGGAAGCTAATAGTATTCTTTGATAGTCAGTTTTTATAGCATCAACAAATATCCATCACAACCGAAGATACAGCCAATTAAAGTCCTGGAGTGTGGCTAGCAGGAGTCACACTCTGTGGGCACGGCGAGAAGGCCTCCCTCTTCACTAGGAGGCCAGAAACCGTTGACCAAACCAGAGAGAGAGAGACAGCCAATTAAAATATAGCTCGCACTGAACACCACGTAATAACAAAAAAACGATCAAAATGCCCCTCTCAAATCCTTGCACGTGCAAGTGCACTTTTAACACCGTTACCATAGTTAGTATGCAGCTTCCTATTTCTCGTCTAATTTGCACGTGGGCGGTCGTACAGACAGACAGCAGAAATAATTCTTTGAATTATAATAATGACTAGAAAGCCCGTGGTAACAGGGATGAAGCTAGTAGTTTTCTATTTCTTTGGCAGTCAGATTTTATCGAATCAAAAAATATCCATCACAACCGAAGTTACAACCGATTAAGATGTAGCTCGCGCTGTGTGTGTAATAACCCTCGTTACCATGGTTACTATGCAACTTCTATTTGTTTACAGAATTTGAAACCGATAAAAATGCCGTTTTAACAATCTTTGCAAGTGCACGTGCGTGTAACAACCCCTGTTACCATGGTTACTTTGCAACCTTTTGCTTTTTACCTAATTTGCACGTGGGCGGTCGTACATCATCATCAGCAGGAATAATTCTCTGAATTATAAGTAAGACTAGAAAGCCCGTGGTAACAGGGACGAAGCTAGTAGTATTCTTTAAAAGAAAATTTTAATCGCATCAAAAAATATCCATCTCAACCGAAGGAAGATACAGCCGATTTAAATATAAAACACTTTAAACACAACGTAATTACCACAAAACCGATCAAAATGACGTTAAAACAATCTTTGCACGTGCATGTGTGCATTAAAACACCGTCGCTATGGAACCTTTTGGTTGTTACCTAAATTCCTATTTTTTATCTAATTTGCACGTGGGCGGTCGTACAACATCAGAAATAATTCTCTGAATTATAGTAGAGATATTTTCATTCCTTGTATTTCAGTAATTAGCAATGTTTTGCATACTATTCATGATATATGGAACTACAATTAATGAATTTCAGAAAACTGTTAACCTTGTAACCGTTCAGAAGATAATAATTGAGAATATTTTACTTATTTTAGCGTTGACTGGGTCAGCTTAGATCTTATTTTAGATTTTAAGTACATTATCAAACGTGCGGCAATTCAAATTTGAGATTGCTGAACTGAATCAACAAATGGCCGATTCATAAAAATACCCTGGTATCAAATGTATTTTATTGTGGGAAGATAATTTTTTTTTTTTATCAAGACACTTATTTTACTTCGGTGTATTCCAACAGCCACATTGTTACACAAGTGCAACCAGCCAATTACAGGAAGCCGAAGGATTTGTTTGGCCAGTGACGGTTAAGGTAGTGTGTACCATATTTTCTTCGCCCGAGACTTTGCTGCAATGTGCAGCTCCTCATTTAACCCTCACACCCGATTTCTCGAGTATTCGGCTGAGAAGACCGGGGGACTGCATAGACCACTCAGGATCCTTAGCTGAACGTCAACGACGCTCACCCCACGACCAGGCAAATAATTAAGATAAATGCTGTAAATTCACACAGTCGAATTTAATAATATAGTTAATAATTACATAATTACATTAAACAAATAAAAATGACGTGGTGTCGGCAAAAACAATAAACATAAAAGTGCTTACCAGATGTTTTGGGGCTCAAACCTCGTAGACTTGTCTAAACTGGCTTTTGTGTGGGAGTGAGTGAGTGAGTGTGTGTGTGTGTGTGTGAGTGAGTGTGCATGTTTGTGTGTGTGTGTGAGTGAGTGTGGATGTTTGTGTGGGGGGGGATGCAACGTCAATTAATGTCAGTATTCCATAAAAACCCCAAACTGACATTGACATTAATTGACATTAATTGACATTAATTGACATTAATTGACATTAATTGACATTAATTGACATTAATTTGTCTTGAAATTTGAGATTATCATTATTCGATAAATATTCAAGATATTCACGTCTATGTAAGTTAGACCGGTTCAAAAAAACAAAATGTCCTTGAATAATTATGAGTATGTTCTTATCTGTTGATCCTTAGGTTCAAAGACCACCACAAAAATTTCAGCTTCCAACTCTTCCATCTTCGGTCCCCACCGGCCACGCCCATATTTTATTGGTTTCTTATACAGGTAAAATATCTAGAATCGGCTTTTTTAGTATGAAGGAGTAATGTTAGCTGTTTCAGATTCGTTATTCAAATATAAATGTCATGAAGGCATTTCGTTTAATGTGGGTTTTAAGTTCTGATGATGTTGAGAACCACGCCCTTGGATGGCCACGCCCATTTAAGAAAATTAAATTTCGGAAAACCGTATTATTTTAGTTTTATTGTTTAATGATCTGAATTTTTTCACATTTCACATTTCCATATGTGATAGTAGTGAATAAATTGATGATATAAACGTTCTAAAGTGCTAAAAATATGGTAGAACTACATAATCTCTGGTCGAAAAATATCGTGTCAATTAATGTCAGTATTCCAAAATTTTGCAAAACTGACATTGATATTAATTGACATTAATTGACATTAATTGACATTAATTGACATTAATTGATATTAATTGACGTTGCATCCCCCCCTTTGTGTGTGAGTGAGTGTGTTTGTGTGAGTGTTTGTGTAAGGGTTTATTAGTTTAAAAGACGCCCTAATCGAGTGATGAAATATGGCTGATATCTGATTAGAAATTATATGTTGTTTGTTTGTTGTTTGTTTGTTGTTTGTTTGTAGTACCCGTCCCAATCTCGTATCGGAAACTGACAAAACTCATTTTTGAGTGTGAATACGGGTGGTACCTGCAAGTGTGTTTATTAAGCATTTAGAGTTCTGTAAAACTGCAGTTACAATTGTGCTAGATTATTTTTAGTATATATACGGTCGATATCAGGTCTAAATCCCTACATGCTTCCAAAATCTCCAACTTTCTGCACAATGTACAGGAATGTTTTGGAAAAGAAAAGGAAAATGATATGAAATCAACGATTTAATGTTATGAAGGTAAATTTAATTCCCTGGTTTCTTAAGTCAGCTTTAAAGTCGGAAAATCAAAGTATGTATAAGGGTCGATACCAAACCGATTATTGAGCGATGATAGCTAAATAGTTGGTTCCTGGGATACAGAGTCCTCCTGATTCCTCAGTCTTCGAGTGTGGTTGTTGCTCTTGTTCAGTTCTGTCCATATTTCCTCGTGTTATGTTCAAAGTTTTCGAGTGTCATGTTGTCCTGGCACTGAGTTCTGTCCATATGTTATGATCAAAGTTTTGGGGTTCATGTTGTCCTGTAATGATAATTTCTAAAGCGTGTAATATATGGGCTAGTGTGTTTTAGCGAGTATAGAGTAGCATATCATAAAGAAGGGGAGAACAGGAGGTTGCCCACGTGATTATTCAGATGATACAGGAAGGTGAGAGATTGCAGGAGGGGGGACGATAATAAAATAAATAATTGGAGTTGTTTTGTTAGATAGAAATAGATGAAGGAATAATTAAAGGGCTAAACGGTGGAGCTAAGCTGTGCAAGGGTTGATGTTTAACTGCCGCGATTGTAATAAGTTCTCCTTGGTGAGTAATTAAATGTTTAAATGATTCAGGCCGTAGGAAATCTGTGAGTTAAATTCCCAAGTAGAAATCAATTATTAATATAAACGCTATGATCAGGTTGTGTGGCAGGTAAAAATTTGGGTGATGATGATGGAGGCAGTTAAACAAAATTGTAGGCTCTGGTGCAATGAAACGGTGGGCATGAATATGTGAAACAGGAATATCCGCAGTATAAGTTATATAAATTGGTGCTGGAAGGTGAGCAATACGGCTAATGAAAAACTTATATAGCTTTGTAAAAGATGTAAATGGATCGAAAGAATATATGAAATGAAAGGACGCTGTGAGAATGAATGCAGCTCTTAAGATAGAACAGTGTGAATCTGCACAATAAATTACAAATACGTACCTGTATTCCCAAAAAGAGTCTTGATAGATGTTTTATGGATAATAAGAATGCTGTGTGAAAATATGAATAGACAGGTATGAATAATTCCAAAAAGTTATGCAAAATCATTACTAATTATGATAATGTAATAACATGATGAAGCCGCAATACTGGAACTTAAAATTGTGAGCGAAAGAGTTGTTTTAAAACAATGCTGGAATATTGAACAAATATATGAATGTGTTACAATGTGCCTTTAATATAGCACAGATTGAATCTGCATGAGTAAATCTGCGTGTGTAAGAAGATACATAACTGTATTCCCAGAGCGGGTTCCCAGAAAAGGTGGTTCAGAGATATTTAAAATAAATGTGTTAAAATGTGTAAATAAAGATATGAATTATGATATCTAAGCAGCAGTTTGTGGTGTTGGAGGATAGGTTACCAAAATAATCAGGAGTAACATCATATAGTGATTGATATGAACTGACACATAAGTGAAATGTCTGGATGACTCGTACCTAATATGGTTTTGTAATGTTATGATGAAGCCGCAAGATTGAATTTTAAAGTTGTGAGTGATAGAGTTGTCTTAAAACAACAGATATTTGATTATGTTACCAAATATTCAACGGGGTCTTTGTTGTCTCTGTCGTAGTAGTTCCATCATGATGTCTGGTAGGACTCTTTCTTCGTTTTATTACGTCATGTTACCATCCAAGATACTATCTAAGGTTGCCTCAAAACATAGTGCTAATACTTAGCCAAAATCGCTCTCCAGTAAGGAAGTTACCATTTTTCTCATTTTTTCCTTGTCCAGATGCAATGCATCATAACATCACTACTAAGTAGTGGCGAATATGTAATGACACATAGGTAAATTACAACACGTCAAGGGTAAACACATCAAAGAGAGAACAATCTGACTACACACTGCATGCCACAATCTGACCTAATCACACCTCACCCTATGTAAACCCCTCACTTCCTGCCCCCGGGGTCACAGCCCGTGTGTGTGTAGTGACCACTTTGAGAAATCTCCACACTCAAACATGCACGTTATTTTCATTAGACCTGACATGTATTATATTATAGAGAAACATCAATCCAACTTACATTATATATGTGAAGTTGAGATGGTGGAACAGGGTGGCCAGATAACGTTTACAAAATGGATAAGTGAGCGGTAAGTGGGTGATTTAAGTGGTAAGTGGGTGATTTGAGTGGTAAGTGGGTGATTTACAAGCAAGTGAAGCTGTTACACTGCATGGTAATGTGTTGACTGGCATGATGTTTGATTAATAAAGTAGTCACTAGTGAAGCATCATGATGTTATAACGTTGAGTATTCTCAACCAGCAGATGTGGGAAGGACCGAAACAGATCTAAAGAGACAATTAAAGGGGTCTGTTAATAATTAACTGAATTATTAGCTATTTTGGATTTAATAATAATAATGTACCTATGGTCGTATGAATATACACATTCCAATTCTGTTACTGGTTACTGACAATCAAAAAAGTTATGAATTATTGATTATGTCAATCGGAACCACACCTTCACAGTTTGTGTCTTCGATTCGATTACTTGGCTGGACAGCGTCAGCAGTCAGCCTCTTTCCACCAAATAAGATACCCTACGAGATACATTAATGTTCGAAACAATTGAGGGCATCAAAAATTATTCAAACAATATACACATAATTGTCACAATGACCCTATATAAAAACAACCCTTCAAAAAATCAATATATGCCCTATCTCAAATATTGGGAGAAACATTTGAAAATCAGCCTTGGCCTTGTGGCTCCAAATTCAAATATAAACTGTTTATATCAATTAAGTTATTTCTCGCACCTCTGTCTCCTCGTAGAGAAATCACTGTTGTTCTTAGGATTTCGAAACGAAGGCGCTTCTATATGAAGGGAAAAATAATACTTTACGTAACGCGCGATTTACGTCTTGGTAGCTAAATCACTCAAGCGCTACTATACTAGCCATGCGCGCAGATCGACACATGACACAATTAAATTTAATGCGCGAGCGCTTGCGCGGCTCACTTATCCACCACTTATATATATTTACATCGTATGTCGTATCAGGCAATAGTTCACTTTAATTAGGGGTCGTTCACATATTACGTAATCAGCCGAGGGGGTTTTCAAATGCTTACGGTTGATTACGGGGGGGGGGGGGGTTTGGTCGTTGATTACGTAATCAAAATTTGAATTTTTACCGATTTTCGAAATACCAATTGGACAATTTTCGTTAATTATGTAATCAAAATTTTCGTTTTTAAAACCAATTTTCGTTTAGTAAATGCTTTCCGAGGAGGGGGTTGGGTCTTAATTACGGGGGGGTCAAACCTTGATTACGTAATAGGGGGTGCGGTCTTGATTGTAACTTGACATACGTTGAATGCCACTTTTCGCGCGCGAAGCGCGCGCCGCCGAAGGGATACGAAACATGTATTAAATTGTAGCGCAATGCGTTACTGTGCCGCGCCGCGCACTCAATGAGGCTTCTCACAGCTAGATCGGCGAAATGCGCTACTGTGCCGCGCCGAGCTGCGATAAATTGACATCGTCAATTAAGGTCTTGATTACAGTTTATTACGGAGTAGATAGAGGGGGGGGGGGGGGTAAAAATTGCCAAAATATTAATTACGTAATATGTGAACGAAGCTTTTTTACTTAACGGGTGATACTCGTAAAATATTTGTTCCAAATATTAGAACCGACGTCGACGAGTCCAACTCGGCGCGCGTCCTGGTAGGTTATAAACCTACAAAAATGGAGGACTTCGAAGCGCGCAAACTGGTATTCTTCATTCTTGCTTCGCAGCAACTAGATCGTTGCTTTGCTGTATTATGTCAAATTGCTATTATTCTAGAGGGGAAAAAACGAAAATTTTGATTACGTAATCAATGACCAACCCCCCGTAATCAACCGTAAGCATTTGGAAACCCCCCTCCCCCTCGGCTGATTACGTAATATGTGAACGACCCCAAAGTTGACGGTCTTCGCAGACCATTGACGGATGTTACTCGTCTAAATTTCTTCGAAGATGGCAAGTGCTACGAAGTAGCGCGCGCCGGGCCAGACCATTAACAATGGTCAACGCAGACCATAGTGTTGATTCACGATGTCAATCCTTCGCAGCTCGGCGAGGCCCAGTGGTGCATCTCGCCGATCTACCGAGAAGAATTATTTGATGCGCGGCGCGGCCCAGTAGTGCATTGCTTTTCATGGATAATTAAGACAGTCGCGTTTTTAGTTTTTGATTCTCCTTTAAAAGTATTCCAATTGCTCATAGTTTGTTTGCAACATTTGAGCATATTTCTTTGCTTAATCACAGAGTCCTGGTCAACAGAGGGTGGTTAAATTGGTGGTTTTAATTATCCTTAGTAATTGCACAGTAATATCACAGCAGCAGGTCTATCTGAAATTTATCGCTCCTACTAAATCGCTTGCCCAAATTTTAAGAAAATTCTTGTGAAAAGGCCCTTTGGGGTGTGAAATTGATCTGAATCGGTGTATTTTTTGACGCTGATTCCGAATCACTCCACATGACGTAGTGTAACAATGTTTCCACGGAGAGTTATGGGCAAAAAACCGTACTGCGCCGTGACGTAATAGGACAAAAAGTACCTGCCACCAATGGTCAACACCAAAAGCGCGGCGTACTGCGCGCGACCAACTATTTCGCCCGTACAATATATGGAACAGATATTTTACGAGTATCACCCGTTAAGATTTAGCTTGAGAGCCATTCAACTAAAATGTCTTTAAACTAGATTTACATCGCATTTTTATCTCAAATATAGTACAAAGTTTATCATCCAATAATCATCGCACAATTACCCTTCACAGTCTCACAAATAAATTAATTGAGTTCTACTCCGCAGTTGTACTCCACTTGTGAAACAGAGAGGCGGTGACTTAGGCTTTAGCAGTGTTAGTAGAGAGTGGAGATTGTACAGGGGCCTTCCTCCAAAGGAATTTGGCTGTCGGTTCCTTCTTGTCGTGCTCCTTCAGAATAGCCTGAAATGAAATCAAACATTAGATAGTGATCTTTGAATTCGTTTAGAAATTAACAAATACAACGAAGCACTTCCAACTTCATTGAATTGAAGTGAGTTTCCGCGTTTATCTAAATTCAACCTCCGTTAGCTGTTATCTCCCTGACTACGATATTTCCGCTCATGTCTACACACTATCATGCTTGTCTTTAATTTTAATGTAATTACATGTTGTGATTATTCATATTCGTAATCAATGAAAATAAAAGTGCTGTATAAAATCATTAGAATATTTCTTATGCGATCAACTAAAATTATTGGTTCAAAACTTTACCACGTTTATAATCTCTCTCTTTATCTTATCTATCCAATCCAATTTTAAAAGTTTATTGAAGCATCATTTGCAAATGAGCACCTTCATAACATCCATCTGAATAAAAACAAACATTTATACTTAAACAGATGGTTTCTGATTAGAAACTGTATCTTCTTCTTCAACACTGATTTCAGATTCAGCTCGCTCCACTAATGAATCTGGAGGGTTTTCTAATATAACATTGTCCTCAGTATCTGCTGCAGGATTCTCTACCACGTCAATCTCATTGAAACTATTCTCAGCATTTTCCTGTGTGTCAGTGTCCTTTTGTTTGTCTTTGAGACCACCAGTTTTAAAGAGCCAGCCTAAGTAAAGTATACAACTCCCAATACACGCTACACAAGATATAATGATCAAAATGTCAAACTGATTGGGGTCCGAGAGAAATACAGTCAGTAAGATGTAGGTGAAGTCAAAGAAACTGTTGAAAGATGTCTGAACTCCACCTACAGTGGTTCGCTGGTGCTCTGAAACGGATAGTTGGAAGGACTGGGAGATAGCCAGGTCGAAGACCCACAACCCGAACCTGATGGTGGTGATCCCTACTAAGACCAGGATAGTGGGGAATACTATCGGTCCTGATACTTCAAGCGGATCCTTCGTTTCATCTCCACAACTCCCGTCTATAATATCAGGAACTGGTATAGAATCGAGATGGTCTTTGGGAAAGCCGACACTTGCTAAACAAACTCCATAACTGATGGCCAGAGTAACGGCCCCTAGACCTCCTGCTGCGGAAACTCCAAACTTCTTCGTAAAGGGAGTATAGCACATGGTACCCAGCAAACCAAAACACGCTCCAGCAGCCATGGAGATAGCAATATACAAATCCTTCACGTTATTCAGACGGAGATATCCAACAGTGATGGAACCGAAACCAAGAACAGTTAGATAGACGAGAGACAAGCAGATTCCAATGATAGCGACATCCTGCGAGAAGAATATCTTGACATTTCCAAAGTAGGTTGTTATCGCGTGTTTGATTTTCTGAGAGGTTGTGAGCGCAGTCTCCCGCTCCGCTTTAGGAGTCACCTTGTGAGCTAGGTCCGGGACTCTAGAGTACACAGCACGGAGTAGCGTATACTCGAAGAAGAACGACACAATATTCCAGACAGCTATCAAACCAGCCGCCCACGTGGTGTTGAGTGCGGTCATGAAGGCTCCAGCTACAATGGGGGCCAACAACAAACACACCTGATCAATCCTCCGCATCATGGCGTTGATAGCACTGAGCAGGTTAGTGTCATGTTTGGAGAGGACGACTATCCAATCCCGCTCAATAATCATCTTAGTAGCAGAGCTGGAGAGAGTGCTGACAACGCCTAGTAGGGTTACAAGAGTCATGAACACGAAGAAGAGAGTCTCGTTGCAGTAGAAAGTGATCTGAAGTTGGAACGCAACCATTATCAGTATAGCAGCAGCTGCAACTGAACTGTTCTGAATAATCAGGGCTGTTCTCATGGTGTTGAGGCGGGGGAGATTGTCCACCTTACGGCCGATTGATCCTGCGAGGCAGGCCTCAAAACTCTTTACTACTAGACTGTAGACAGCAGTGAGCATAAAGGATTGTGGGTGAAGGTAGATCAGGAATATTCCGATAGCAAAACTCCACATTCTGTCTCCCCAGCGCGAGAGAGCGTGCGAGGTGTAGAGCAGGACATTTGTTGGGGTTGTTACCATGGCTACCACATCTGCTAAAAAGAGGAATTCTGTGAGAATGGCTCATCATCAAAGGTACCAGTCTTACTTACACAACAAGAAGCACAATGTAGGAACAGTGAATAGTGTGCAGCACCACAAGTGTAATGTGCAGCACAACAAGTGCTGAGGGCATGCCAGCACTGCTTATCTGAACAATAGTCTAAAATTAACAATATATACTCTCTAGGTCGCGGCTTAAATGATGGGTACACGTACTCGACAAGTATCCTAGTTCGACACGTACTGCAGTTCGGCAATCCGTATCCCTCGTGGATGACGTTCAGTGAGCCAGAATGTGATCCGATAGCGTGTAGCAACTGTTATATGAGTTCCATCATTGCCTGCCATAGGATCACGAAACAACACAAAAATCGTGTACGTGTCAAACTAGAGTACGTGAATAAAAACATTCAGCTGTAAGACTGTTAAAAGTTAAAACCCATTACATCTTAAGCAGCTATCAATAATGTAAAAAGTACAATCTAAAGAATGCTACAGACATATCAGCAAATCTGCTACAAATACTAACTGCACACAAAACTTGAGGAAGAGTTGCTGATTGGTAACTAGTATGTGTAATGTGTACTTTTTATATTTACTGTGTGTGGTACACAATACACATCCACAGTAAATACTAACTAAGGAAACAAGCCTCAGGCACAACAGAACCGCAAACACAGCAGAAATATAGGTTCTTAGAGATTTTAATTGTGAAGTGTTAGAACTTCAGCTCATTTAGTTGTTAGGTAGGAAGTACAATTTATAGAGTAATTTTGGGGGAGCTGGAGGAGGATAAGAAAAGACATTTGAAAGTTCTGGAACAACAATGGAACAATGTCAAAAGTTCCAACGAATAATCAATGATATTGAAGTTCTAGATGCATAATAATTAGGACATTTTTCATCCTAGTTTTGATATTATGTTAAATATAAAATCACCGACAATATGGGTCCAATGTCCATAGCCTTCTAAACTTGAAACAGATTTTTATTTTTATTCCTCGGCTTTTTATTACTTCTAATTATGAGACGATTGTAGTCTTACCTAAGTCATTGTAGAAATGTAGAACTATGACTAGCTAATCCCGAGAAGAAGGATCGAAACAGGTCGAGTAAAAACTTATTCGTGCGAATTGAATTAACGATACTAGCGGTTTGCCGTACGGACTATCAGTCTTGCTTTGGAAATAAATTTCCGTTTTGAAACAATAAAAATAATCCAAACCACTCAGCCGAGGCTTGAAAACTTTTTTCACGCCAGCCATGAAGTTGATCGCGGATATAGGAAGCGGATATAGATACAGCGACAACACGGTGCATTATAACGGTGTATTAATATGATAAGGAGTAAGATGTGAAATGAAACCTTTGAAAACACAAAATCTTGGGCTCCGTGAAACTGCGATTCAAGGTTCCTAATTAAATCTAATTTCAGGGACCTAAATTGTGGAATGCGATATATATACCCTACCATATGATTTATATTCAAGATCTCGAGCATTTCGTTTTATCAGCCCCGATTTATATAATTAGTTCATAAAACTCTCAGAAAACTCGCAAGATTTCCTCTAGATGCACTAAATTACACTAAAGATCTTTATACCTCAATGCTCCCAATATTTTTTTAGAGTCGGCATGAAGGCGGCATGAAGCAGTGTCCAAGAAGGCGACCACTAAAGGTGAAGAACGATATGTAGAGCAGTTACAAATTATTCATCGGTTTATAAGGTCAATTATGGGAGGATGGTTTAACCAAATTCATTACTGCCACTAAAACAAGAAATGCTGATTGGAAACAGTTAGACAGGAAGAGTGAGTGGAAAATTAAATTAATAACATATGAGATGAAACATTTATACAATTTAAACTATGCTGTAATTTAAAACCAGTTTTAGACAATTTAAATTGGGTAAGTTCTGGGTTGATTTCAGAGTGATAAAGCTGGTTATCTTTAAACAGCTAAGCGACACGGTCTTCAGGGTTACAGTTCATCTATAATACCAAATTCTCCTACCATATTCTCTTTCACACATTTTTGGAACGAGGGCCTTATAAAAAGACAAATAACATTATCGGTTATTTATAAAACTGTGCAACTAAATTGTCATTGTAATTTATGATTAATAATTTTCAGTAATACTCATTAAATATATATTACCTGAATTTTATCTTTCTTCATTTTGATCTCCTTATCTCGTGTGATCACCTTCATTGGATCCGGCCACTCAAACTTGAGAGAATCTGACGTTTTCTCTCGTTTCGGCAAAGACTCACGTGACCTCACTTCCCCACGTGTATTTCCACGAGTCACAGATACTTTTGAGCCGCGCGACTTCAAACTGAAACATCAGGCGTAAACGTAATTGTAAGTTAGGCCGAAACTTGACTCTTGAATATGCTCGTTTAAAATAAATCAGACTGATATTAATTCTGAGAATTTTTTATTAGAAGGTTACGTACCGTTAAGACTTAAAATCAATATTTGCAATAGATTGCCACATTGACATACCCCAATTCGGCGTTTTCGCAAGAATAGCAGTCGTTATTTGATTGGGAATCTGAGTTTATGATAGATGATAAAATCGCTTCTTTTGATCCTGAAAATATAAAATCAGTTAACGATCTTCATCCCTTGAATTATCTAATTTCAAATGTGTAATATGCTTTCTTAAAGCGGACGTTATAATAGTGGAAGATTTAGTCCAGATGAAATATAACCTTAGTTACTTATTTCATTTGTATCATTTTTTGTTCGGGCCATGGCAAAAGCGCCTAATTTCTTAACGTGCAAGCTAAAAGTCGATGATTAACAAATTGTAATCTCTCAGATGTTGGAAAAATATATAGCAACTTTTTGTTGAATATATCACAGGGTCTATATCTTGGTATTTTACTATTTCAATCCGGTAAGTAACGTATTTCCCCTCTTCGAGTGTATCTAAACTTCTAAACGTGTATCGAAATTTTTCGGAAAATTGACTTGAAATTATCAGCCCTCTTTAATTTTGGCGCCTATATTCAAATTGTTCTGAACAACAAATAGTTCTGGAGTCGCATGTTGATATTAACTGGTTTTTTGGAGTTTGTTTTTGGAAAACATGGTCCACATTTATTTGTGGTTGTGCTATAATAATGGTATTATATATAATGTGTAACAAAAGGGTACCAATTAGCTCTTTAGATAGACACATTAGAGCAAATGTCACCACTGGTAAAAGTTTATTTTATGAACACAGAGGATACATCGGGATGTACAGATAGTTTTCGTCGCTGGATAACCCTTCAATAGTGAGGAACCGACTACTGGAACAACAACAAAACCAGGGATTTCCTGACAGCAGATGGTTTATATAGCATGCCCAATACCTTGTATTGCTTGACTTTTAAATTACGATAAATGTTAATGGCGTGGATATTGACAGGTCATTTACGTGTAATGACGAGCACATTGTTAAAGTAGTCCGGCACCATTCAACAGTTATGCTGTAATTTTAAACTATTTTTCGTACCACAAATTAGCTACTCAGTATACAGATTAGTATCATTTTTCCACCCAAATCGTGTAGGATGCGCTTTTCTTTAACTATATACTATATAGTATATCGCTGGTTCTGATTATGGGATGTAAAAGAGCATAATTATAGAAAACCGAGTTCCTAGGGTTAAGTGTATGCTAATCTAGCTTTAGTCACGTAACACGGCAGGGCGTATCAAATGATAGAAATAAAACGAGGTTATGAAAGAGGAGAACTATCAAATGGAAAAGAAATACAAAGTGAACTCCAACAGATAAAACTTTTTTAGTTTGCGCAAACCGGTTGACGTGAATATAGACACCCGGCGAGTCTACTCACAGAGGATAGTGCTCAGTCAAACTGGCTATTGACAATCGGATCCCTTAAAATGATTAAGGGGCAACTAAAAAGTGGGCTCTTCACTTCCGCTCTCCGTATATATACTCCCAAACACTGTCACGCCATGATGCGTGACGGCACAACGCATCTGCTTGCACCACGTGACTTGCCAATGGGCACTCCACTAGCAGTCACCCTGTGGCCGCGAGGACCAACCACAGGCCTGGCTGTAAGTCAGGTGCAAATGAGCGGACGGCTCATCTCTGACAGTTGGTCTGCCAGCCAACCGACTTACACTCAAAATGTGTAACTCCCGAATACGAACAAATAAAAGCATTGGTTATTATATACCCGGAGATATATACTAAATTCTACGTTCCTTAATAATAAACGTTATGCTAAAACTAAGATATCCTAAAAGATATCTCAAAATACCATATTACAAAATAATTATTACACGGTAGGATTTATAAGGTCAAAGAATCCTGTCTGGCGATTATAGCACACCTTATCTGCCAGTACTCTAGCTTTTGGCTACCGGGTTTCTAGTGTTAGATACTTTACGTAATAATTATAATCTTATACATTGGAAAATCAGAACCAGCGATAATCGATATAGTTGAGGAAAGAGCGCTCACTACACGATTTGGGTGGAAAATATTACCATCTGTATTTGTACACTGAGTAGTGAGCAGCTATGTTGTGGTATGAAATATAACAGTATCGTGTATACATTTGATTTTCAACGAACGGTGGCCCTGATTTCTGATTTCTGATTTGTGTGCAATGTTCCTAACATAAGTGTTTTGTGATGAAATGTTTTCTTGCGTTAGTATTGCTTCTGTCATTCCAAGCTGTTAGAAGTTGTGAAAAGGTATGTAAGTTCCTCTACAACAATCCAGACGAAGACTGGGAAGATCTCGATGACGAATCTCTGACATCTTTCGAAGAACCTGTTGCGCAAGGAACAGTTACAGGTTTCATAACCATAAGATTAGAAACCTCCGCTCCGGCTGAAAAGTATGACTTCCTACGGTTTATTAGTACTGCAGATAGACAAAGTCAACCCCTCATCTTATTACTGGCAAACAACGGACTAAAAGTCGGAATAAATGAAAAATTAAAAATAGATGGAAAGAAGCAACCCAGTGTATGGGTACCTAAGAACCTATCAAATAAGATCAGATATATTCAAATATCTGATCTAGATCCTGGTTTTTACAATGTAACCATTGGAGACCCTGAACGTAGCGCTGAACTGAAATGGAATTACCAACGTCAACTGACTACTCTTAAACTTAAAGACACGGTAGCAATAGCGAATATTGGTCGATGCAGTTGTACTGTTTACAAGTACATATCAGCTTGCTCTGACGCCATTCCAAGACTTTGTGAGGAAGAGAGTAATGTAATAGAGACTGTGAACCTCGGTTCCTCCTCCACTCTCTCCTGCACTGGCTCTGGAGCTCCTTATCTTGATGTGAAGTGGACCAAAGATGGTGAACCTACAGATCTAGTGCCGAACAACATCCGCTCAACCACTGAAGCTGATCACATAATTGAGTCTTCACTCACTCTAGATATCGTCACAACTGAGCACCTCGGAATTTGGACCTGCACAATCTTTAACAAAAACTCCGGATACAGTGTAACTAAAAGATACACATTAAGTTACACTAACCGTGTGTCTCTGCTCAGCTCGCCTTCAGATTACTACACAGGTGAAAACACAGAGTTCCAGTGGGAAGTAGAAGGCTGGCCGTTAGACCAGGTTACACTTGATTGTGGACGTGAGCGTGCCATCACAACAGATAACAGTGGATACAACTCCTTCACTCCTCCGAGGATCGTTTTGACGCTGACCTTACAGAACCAGAACGTGGTGACCTGTTTTCTGAAGAATGGACAGACAGTCCTGGAAACCCGTCAGATCACTAGAGTTGGGTACAACTGTGAAGTAGGAGAACGTGGAGTTGGTAAAGACTGTGAGCCGTGTCCAACAGGACAAACTAGTGTTGCTGGTTCAGAAGTGTGCTTCCCCGATGTGAGTGATTGCTCTGAAGGACAGTACGGTTATGGAACTGACTGCAACCAATGTACAAACGGAAAAACTAGCCGTGCGAAAACAAAGAAAGTGAATGGATGCTTTCCTGATATAAGTGATTGCTCTGAAGGCAAGTACGGTTATGGATCTAACTGCACCCAATGCCCAGATGAAAAGACAAGCTTTGAAAGGACAAAGAAAGTGAATGGATGCTTTCCTGATACAAGTGATTGCTCTGAAGGCAAGTACGGTTATGGATCTAACTGCACCCAATGCCCAGAAGAAAAGACAAGCTTTGAAAGGACAAAGAAAGTGAATAGATGCTTTGCTGATACAAGTGAGTGCTCTGAAGGCAAGTACGGTTATGGATCTAACTGCACCCAATGCCCAGAAGAAAAGACAAGCTTTGAAAGGACAAAGAAAATGGCTGGATGTTTTCCTGATATAAGTGAGTGCTCTGAAGGCAAGTACGGTTATGGATTTAACTGCACCCAATGCCCAGAAGAAAAGACAAGCTTTGAAAGGACAAAGAAAATGGCTGGATGTTTTCCTGATACAAGTGATTGCTCTGAAGGCAAGTACGGTTATGGATCTAACTGCACCCAATGCCCAGAAGAAAAGACAAGCTTTGAAAGGACAAAGAAAGTGAATAGATGCTTTGCTGATACAAGTGAGTGCTCTGAAGGCAAGTACGGTTATGGATTTAACTGCACCCAATGCCCAGAAGAAAAGACAAGCTTTGAAAGGACAAAGAAAGTGAATGGATGCTTTGCGGACGTCAGTTATTGCAAAGAAGGACAGTTTGGTTATGGAAATGACTGCAATAAATGTCCACATAAAAAGACAAGCATTGAAAGGACAAAGAAAATGGCTGGATGCTTTCCTGATGCAAGTGATTGCTTTGAAGGCAAGTACGGTTATGGATCTAACTGCACCCAATGCCCAGATGAAAAGACAAGCTTTGAAAGGACAAAGAAAGTGAATGGATGCTTTGCTGATACAAGTGAGTGCTCTGGAGGCAAGTACGGTTATGGATTTAACTGCACCCAATGCCCAGAAGAAAATACAAGCTTTGAAAGGACAAAGAAAGTGAATGGATGCTTTGCTGACGTCAGTTATTGCAAAGAAGGACAGTACGGTTATGGAAATGACTGCAATGAATGTCCATATAAAAAGACAAGCTTTGCATTGACAAAGAAAGTGAACGGATGTTTCCTTAATATAAGTAGTTGTAAAGAAGGAGAGTTTGGCTACGGAAGTAACTGCGGCCCATGTCCTGAAGGGACAACCAGTTCGGCTTCAACAAAACTAGTCGGCGGTTGTGAAAAAGTCAAACCAAACTTCTACATACCTTTAGGAGCAGGGGTGTCTGTCTTTATCATTCTTATAGCAGTTATACTCACAACTTTCATAATCATCCGAAAAAGAAGGTCAGCAAGGACAAGTTATGAATTGGTATCAAGATTCAAGCCTTCAACAGTTCCTGCAGTTGAGGTTCATCGTAATGCAGACATCTCTAAACAAGGAGAATCAGGCTCACAGCGTGATAACCATGGAACCGGCAGCACTCCTACCATGCTGGACAACTTTATCGTTGATAACAGATACAAGTCTGTGGGAGAGAAAAGTAAGAATCGTGAAATCTTGAGAGGATTAACACTGGATTCGCTGATAAATTCATCCACTGTCCGCCAAGAAAAAGAGGAAGACCATTATGCTAATATCTCAGATAGGTAAGATACATTGAGAAGGAAATTTAAATCTTTAGCAGCATAAATTGAAAAATATCTAAACGTATGCTGGAAAATGTTTCGTTATGATAAGTTGGTTATCCTACAATCTACAGGCAATTACTGCAACAAGGCAACCCCGACGAGGAAGAGGAGGTACTTTACATCAACAATGATAATCTGAGATCTTCTTCAAATACAAGGTCAGTAAACCTTGCAAACCCTGTAAACCTTGATACTCCTAGCTGAAGACGATTTACACAAGTATTTTGAAAGCTCCTGCTAATAAAATCCTTTCGTATCACTTATATGTTTTAAATATCCTCCTCCAAGCTTGATACTCCTAGCTTATCATATTATTCTACTCTTGATATTGAACGAATTTCTATGCTCTATGTATTGTATTGTAGTAGGATCTGTTGGAATTACAATTCCCACCCAAGATAATTTAGTAATGATATTACCCACAGAAGGACTGATGAAAGAGAGGATGACACGTACGCGACTGTGGAACTAGTGCAGGGATCCAGACTGAGAAACAGAAAGACAGTGCCACTGGTGAAGAGACCGGATGTTCAGTATTGTACTATTACTGAGCTAAGAGAAAAAACTACTCCTGACAGTCATTACATTAACATGGACAGCAAATAGACGAGTTTTGTTTCTTAGTGATTCTAATTATTTGTGGTTCTTTTTTTGGTGCTTTAGAGATTTAAATTTTTTGTGACTCTTTTTTTGCGACTCTTTGTTATTTGTGGCATAATGCCGTCTATGTCGTAATGGCATCACTTTTCAGAGTACAGTGTATTCGAGACTACTTTTGTTAGGGGCGATATCTATTATCACCAGTTGCAGTATTGATATTCGAACAGTCGGTTGATCTGGTAAACTTTTAAAATCAAACGAAGATTCCGACATTAAAGTTTCGTGTTTAATTTTTATATCACTCCTATCCGTATTCGAACATTTAAACTGTACAAATATTGTAAATTTATTCTGTATGTTTTGTACTAGAAAGCTCACATCAATTTGTTAGGTTGTTTTCGTAAAATTGTAAATAAAACAAACCTAGTTTTTTTACTGCTTCTTTAATGGCGAGTATAAGGGAAGCGTCCTTTTCAGGCTTCAACCCTAACATCTGTAGAGCCTGTGTTGATGCTCTGAAAATGTTAATTAAAGATTCAAATATTTAAGTGTAAGTATGTGAAAGAGCATGAGCAGTATCGTGTAACATGATACTGCTCTTTCACATACTTACACTAAAATACCAGTAAGCCGGGAACAATTTTATTTGTCAACATGACTATAACCACCAAAGGAATAATTCTGATAACCTAAAATACTGAAAATAGGCCCTACTTCTTGACGGAGTTGTCGGCGTCAGCAGTGAGCCTGTCTCTAAGGACGTTGACCACGTCCTCCCGGTCCACCTTGAGGATGGCGAGGACGAGACACGCCGCGCTGCGCACCAACCCCTCCTGCTGGTACTGCGCAGACCACACCAGTTGAGATATTATCTTGTCGTTCACTACCCCTATATCTGCTAGTGCTGACGGGTGGAGTGATTGTTACAATTCCTTCTCTAGGTTTGATAAAAACGGATTAAAGTTAAACGAAGCTGAGGATATTATATTATTCCTCGTGAGATCCACAAATCCCTCTCAAACCTTCGATAGCAGCAGCTTTGACCTTGTGAGAATGGTCCTCAGAGATCAGAGTTAATAAACCCTCGATTACATCCTCGTCAGAAAACTGTAACTCGCCTGCTCCCTGCAACAGAGAATGTATAAAATAGTTGAATATGAAGTAGTAAGTTTCCCATAATTCGTAACATTCGGTTTTGTAGTCAGATTAAAGTAGCAGCACTCTTATTATCATACCTTAGCTGCATTGTGTCTGACAGAGACGTGGTCGTCAGTGAAACACTTTAGAAACACAGACTTCATCCGGCCTGTCATCATCCGGAGATGAACCACTCTGTTGAGAGCGTCAACTCTCTCTGCTTCGTTCCCTTTCCTGAGCCTACAGCACAGCTCGTCGTGCAGTACCTGGGATAGAGCAGAGTTATTGGTATCTGCTTTGTAGACTTATCCTTATTGCCTTTAATAAGAGCAATTGTTTCTTTTGGACCCGGGTGGATATTATTGTCAATACAATTGTCTGGAGGGGATTATTTAAAACATATAAGTGATACGAAAATAATCACTCACAATACAATTGTGAGTGTGACTGCACTGTCCAGCTGTACCATCTATATCAAACCCAGACGGCCAACAGTATACAGGCATTTGACAATATCACTACAATTGTGCACACTAACACACACACACAGTATTAGGTCTAATTTTCATATCCTGAGATTCCTGGAGAAACACAGCGACTTAATGCACGTGGTATCTAATACTCCAATCTGATCGGTCAGGCCCTGATCACGTGGGCGCTACGATTAATCGTGGTTGGTTTGACTGAGTGTATTTTAATTTTGTGCTATTGTAATCCATAATGAAGGGTGACTACAGTAATGACACGTGGAACTTGTGCCATTGTTCGGTACAATGCAGCAGTGCGAGAGGATCCAGTCTCCACACCTTACTATTGCTAAACTAGTTGCTTGTGTTTACCAGGCCTCCTACTTGTACATACTGCGTGCTTGACTGCTTGTGTCCGGTACACTGTGTGCCTGTGTTCAGCACCTTGCGTGCTTGTGTTCAGCACACTGCTTGCTTGTGTTCAGCACACTGAGTGCTTGTGTTGTATTGTTTTGACTTTTTATTAAAGATTTAAACGTTTTCAATAAAAATGTTCTGCTGAATTGTGTAATCGTAACGATAATACCTCAATACAGCAAGCTTAAATTTGACGACAACTTATTTGACTGATAATTTATTTCGCATGATCAGAGAATTAACAATCACTTCAAGTGGTCTGACGGAGGGTGCCGACTGCCGAACTGAACTTATCTTACTATTGAAAAGTAGGTGACGATACTTTACAACTGAAATTTCAAGAGACTTGACACAATGCATTTTCCAGCAAAAGTTTCAGACTTTAGATAATCAATACATGAGATGCAAGTATAAACATTGCTATCAACTATCAAGATAGTCAATATGATTACTGTTAAGTACAAGATTTAATTGACAGTTCCTTGAACAACCAGTAAAATACACACATTTCAGATGAGAGAGAACGTGACATGCGAGGTACTTGACCACTACCCCACCTTCACTGAAGCCTTCATAGAATGTCCCAGTATCTGCTACATTATCTTCACCTCAATAGATGCTGCTCTGGTTGTCTTCCAAATAGTTGTGTTTATCCATCTTCTTTACGCGGTTCACGTGGAGAGAAAGAGAGAAGTCCCCTATCTCGTGTCCCTGGCTCCAATCTGCTCCATCATCAGTGTTCTAGAACTAATTAACTTATCGACCGTAGAGCTCCTTTCAGCCTTCAGGTATGTCTACCTGGTGTTCTGCATTCTCCAGTTTTACCAGTACATATCCAGTTATTACGGTGACTGGGATGATCTGGTCAGACTCCTCCCTGGATTTGTTTACGAAGCTAAAGTGCTGTGTTTGTGCTGCTCGTACCAGAAGGAGATTGCCATAACCAAAGGAAGGCTCCGAACGAATAAAGTTCTGGTTTATACGGGTGTTATCACCTACATGGTGGTGATAATGGTCACAGTGGCATTTGAAGTGAGTGAGATTTTAGAGGACATTTTACAAGTGCTTGGGGTGACACTGTTTATCATGGGGATCAGGTCAATGAGGCGGTTCCTATCCATCACCCAGCAGTTCTACCCGGAAGTGTCCAGTTCAATAAGGAGAAAGTGGGTGGCAGTGAGGATCTGTTTCCTGGTGGTAGGGTTGCAGGGCTTCATACTCAAACTCTTCTCTGCCATGCATCTCATCCCTCCGATAGACTTGTTCAACAAGCGCGTCATGGTGGATGTTATCCACAACCTACTGGTCCCAGCGCAGCTGTGTTTCGCTGTTGTGCTCGCGCACAGGGCCTTCCACGGCGATGACCCCTGCACGATGGAGACGACCCCTCTGCTCCCCAAACAGCAGCGCGGAAACACCGGCTCCCAGACGGAGGACATGCGGGACCTGATGTCGGACACGTTGGTGCGGGTGGACAGTGGGGTGGACAGTCCCGAGTTTGAGTACGTACCGGGCTACGGCTCACTGAGCGCCGAGATGATGAACCACGTGGAGGAGGCGCTGGAGGACAACTGGAGGAGGTCTCACCCGGACCTACTCCAGGGAGTTGAGCCAGATCTGTACCAGGGCCAGGTACTGGGACATAGAGTCACCTCCCAGGTCAGGGGTGACAGGTTCTCAACAATGGGAGGCATTAATCGCCGGTATCAGGAAATGGACGAGTACTCGGGGTCTACAACTTTGTGAGAATAAACTGATTTTATGAGACTCTTCTGACACTATCTGTTTCTTTCAATTTCGCTGTGGTTTTACTTTCTCCGGATTAGGTATTTTTCACAAGATTTTTACTTGATCTGTGTAAGGGTTTAAATTATAAAATTTAGGACGAAAAACAGTTTTTGTTTTGAAAAAAAAAAAACAAACTAATTTACTATCATTAGCCTAATATAATCAAATAACTTATAAACAATAAGATGGACTCACATGACCATATCCTTTAACCCCAATCGTTTCACCAGCAACTGACTTGATGTTCTCACTGTAGTCCGACCACATCAGTGTCAGTAACTTGTGTAAAATGTCTTTATTCAACGCTGAAATTATAAAATTTTACATTTAAGCGTTTTTAGCCAACAGAAACCTCTGACAGTAACAATCTGGGAGCAAGAAAACTCAAAGACTCAGAATATCTTACTTTTTAAATTTTTTTGTTATTTAAATTTTTTGTCACGCCACAGACTCTTACTATGCACAATTTTGTGGCTGTATAAAAACTATGCGAAATCATACGGGAAATTTCTGATTGTACGAAATTATGCGGTAGGATCAAAATTAATGGAAAGGTGTGGAAAACGTTAAATTATGAGATTCATACAACAAGGAGAATAACAGATGAATTGCTCTCATATTACAGTCTGTTAGCATGGGTAATGCAATGGGTATATTAGTCCTAGTAAATATAATCCGTTTATTATCATTCGCCAGTTGAAGATTTTGGATAACTGCCAACATCCTTGATAGATTTATTTATTATTGGTAGATAAGCATTGACAAGATTTTGATTCATAGGATATGAAGTCAGTAAATATAAATCTTCCTCTTTTAAACCTAGCAGTTTGTAAATAAACAGTGGAGTCACCCGGCTAATGGTACTGGTAATTATCAATAGAAATCTAATTAGTAGAATAAGATAAGGAGATTACCGCGCCCTGGCTGGGTTATAACCCCGTAACTCAACACCTTATACACATAAGTCAACCCTTTTTGTTGATCGGCCCATTTGTAAACGATGTTACTTTGTTTTGCTTTAGCTTTACTCCGCTTTAATGGGGTACAGGCGGACGAACAATTTGCGCACTTCAAGACGATTTTGAGGGCAAAGCATAAGGAGAGAATCAAGCCATGGATAGCACACATCGGTAGGCAAGCAGACCCCTGCAGGATTGCAGCTATATCTGGACGATCTGGTCAGAACAGCGTGCTAAATAGTGCCGAGAAAGTACTAATGAAGATGAAAAACGATGCTGACAATGTTAGAATTAGAAAATTAGCTCCTGAGACGAAAGCTGATGCTTGTAAAGAAGCTCTCAAGCATTGCAAGAACAGAGATATGAACCGTGAGATCTGCGCTGAAGCATTAGCTCACTACATGAAACGCAAGGAGACCACTCAGAGATCAGTAGGACGATCCAGTGCGAGTGCTTGGGACGAGCTTTATGGAGAGCTGACAGAGTCTCTGACTACGGATGAGATCATTGAACAGTTGGATTTGTATAATTCTGCTTCTCTGGGTTTATTAATAGATAACACCGGCTCTATGGCTGACGATATCGACCAGGTACTTTCAATGTGTTTATTATATTAGGTTGGGGGGGGGGGGCCAATGGCATAAAATGGCATAAAATGGCATAAAATGGAGACTTTTTCTATGGAGAAAATGGAAAAACCCATGAGTAATTCTCCATTTTCTCCATTTTATGCCATGAATTTTGTCTTCGAAATTTCATCTTTAACACCATTTAACACCTAAATTGGACATCCTAACATGTTTATTTACGCTTACTAGGGGCGTAACAAGCTTATGAAAGCTCATAGTAGGCTACTAGATGCTTATACTAGGTTAGTAGAGGCACACTTCAGGCAAACTCATAATTACTCAAGCCTAGTGTAAAGTTATTTCTACAGGCTACAGCAGGAGTGAGTAATAGGGGAGAGTAATAGGCACTGAGAAGTGAGACCTACATCCTCGACAGTCGAAACAAGCTCGCACTGCAAAGGGGAGCCCTGCCTTCCGAGATCGCATTACCAGGGGGAAGCCTCGAGTCCAAATTTGTGTATCGAGGGGTAGGTGCAGACTTCGATAAACCGAAAAACCAAAAAAAATATTTTCGGCTTATAATGAAGAGGGTAGCATAGAAAAACTTTGAAAAATTTTGACTTAGAAAATTTTCGGCCCGAGTCATTATCGATACGTACCTCTCGTATCGAGAGCTCCCGATTCCGAGCTCGTGTTGCAAAGGGGAGGCCTGCCTTCCGAGATCGCATTACCAGGGGGAAGCCTCGAGTCCAAAATTGTGTACCGAGCGAGGGGTAATTTTCTAAGTCAAAATTTTTCAAATTTTTTCTGAAAACCGCTTTTCTCCACGTTTCATGCTACTCTGTTCATTATTTGCCGAAAATATTTTTTCGGTTTTTCGAAGTCCACACCTTCCCCTCGATACACAATTTTGGACTCGAAGTAATGCGATCTCGGAAGGCAGGCCTCCCCTTTGCAACACGAGCTCGGAATCGGGAGCTCTCGATACGGGAGGTACGTATCGAAAATGACTCGGACCGAACATTTTCTAAGTCAACATTTTTCAAAGTTTTTCTGAAAACCACTTTTCTCCATGTTTCATGATACTCTGTTCATTATTGGCCGAAAATATTTTTTCGGTTTTTCCAAGTCCACACCTTCCCCTCGATACACAATTTTGGACTCGAGGTAATGCGATCTCGGAAGGCAGGCCTCCCCTTTGCAACACGAGCTCGGAATCGGGAGCTCTCGATACGGGAGGTACGTATCGAAAATGACTCGGACCGAAAATTTTCTAAGTCAACATTTTTCAAAGTTTTTCTGAAAACCACTTTTCTCCATGTTTCATGATACTCTGTTCATTATTGGCCGAAAATATCTTTTTTTAAAATAATTTTTCTCGAAATTCTAAATTTTTCAGGTTTTCCATGGCATAAAATGGCATAAAATGGAGACTATTTCTATGGAGAAAATGGAAAAACCCATGAGTAATTCTCCATTTTCTCCATTTATGCCATTGGCCCCCCCCATTAGGTTTTTTTAAATTCTCAGGCCTAAAATAATCTATTTTATGTTATGCCCAATAATCTCAAGTTTCTTCTCAAGTTATTTGTGTAGCTAGGTAGAAAATTAGCTTGGATTCCTATGTTACACAACTACACTATGTACTAATGTTTTTCCCAGTATCCAAGAGTCTAATTTGAAACATTCCAGGTAACCAGAATCACGGAGAGCTTCCTTGAAACAGAGCTTTATTATGACGATATAATTTACAACTTTGTAATCATGACTTTCGGAGATCCTGACTATGAACAGCCAACCGCCTATTGGGAGCCCACTCAAGCAGTAAATCACGTGAATAGTAAAATAGTGGCGTCCATGGGAGGGGACTGTCCAGAGATGACATGTCAGGCGATCGAACAGATGTTATTGTACAGTGACATGTTCAGCCAATCTCCCATCTTCGTGTTCACGGACGCTTCCAGCAAGGACTGCAGTGAAGATCTTGTGACTAGCGTGGAGGATTGGGCCAAGGATTTCTCACAAACTTTGAATTTTGTCCTGACAGGGATCTGTGGAGACGAGGTTGACGGCAACTTCACCAGACTGGCCGCTTCTACTGGGGGCAGCATCTACAGGCTCGAGGATGAAGAGCTGTACAGAATGACAGATATAGTGGCCGAGGGGACAGAAGGGGGTTCATATCTTGCTTACGACGATTGGGACGAAGACGATTGGGACGAAGACGAGGACTGGAAAAGAAAGAAGAGAGATATGAGCAATGAGCTGAGCGCGCACTTCCTCCTCAGGAGGAGAAGACAAGCAGATTTCTCCACTTTCGTTTTCTACGTGGATGAAACAGTTGGTCGGCTGGCGATGCAGGTGACGTTCAAGAACCGTGCAGACAGACGGCTGCTAGACGGTATCACCATGACACCCCAAGAAAACTGTAACACCCACAACCAGGAAACCGGAAGCAGGTTTGGAAACATTGTCCACTACGCAGTTCACTGTCCTTGTGTCGGTGTTTGGAAGATTAAGGTCCCTAGCTCCTTTGACAACCCCTGGACTTTCTCTGCCAAAACGTTTGGAGATTTCAGTATTGGGTTTGATGTGGGCTTCGAGCAAGCAGCGTCCAATGGGAATGTGGAGCGGACAAAGGAACCCTGTGCAGGCGACACAGCTAAAATGATTATAACACTCACTCAGAGAGACTCTATTGATGCAACAAGCAGGATCCACGTTTTATTGAATGGTGAATCTTACGATGAAATCTTCAGACTAAACACAAGTGACGAAAGCAAGTGGTATGTGGAAATCAGAGTTCCAAAAATTCCGTTCAAGGTAGCAGTTCGAGGTACCACAGTGGCTGGAAACACATTCCTCAGGATCCAAAACACGGAAATAAAACCGACCACAACCTGCCTGAAGACTGAACACATTCAGCCCAGTGCGTGGACCATAAAGGCGGGAAGAGTAACAACCATCATAATGTCCCTGGAGAACAAGTACCAAATGGGCGAGTATAAGCTCTTCTGTTTCAACGACCGTCAAAAGGACGGGTTCGAGACGAAGATAGAACGGCCGAGGAACAGAGTGCACAGGGTTATTGATCCGGACAGATTATACTACATTTTCATCAAGGTTAGAGCTCCACAAGTCATCGAAGTCGGGTTGGTGGTAAATGTATGGTGCGTCGTACGTTCAGATAATGACAGGGCAATCAAATCTTACCGACTTATGACCTCTCTCTACGACTAATCATCTGCACGGACAATCTATTTTCTAATGATCGAGAAGGAATGAGGAACTTCGCCAGTATCGATGAACACAATCCTTAGAAAATGAACTGTAAATAATCGACTACTTGAACTATTTTACTATAACATTAACATAAGTATGCTAGGAATGATATTATACATTTATCCCACGCATATTATATATAGATATATTTCTTACGGGTGTGAATCTTTTGTATGACTTTGCATGCCATGTATCTGTTGATCCACAGCCTATTGTTGAGTTCATCAGCCACCATAAACAAGATAACATCCTGGGAAATTTAACATAAACAAGATAATTTGAGCTAAAAAAGAACACAGGTTATTATGCGAATTTTCAGTGCATAAAACCACTGTGGAAACAAACGAGTACCCTGCCTAATTGTCCGGTATAATACAGGGTCGGTGGTTATTCTCATTATATTTATGTTCACAGTACATTATTACTCTGGGGACTAGGCCACCCTGTATACTTTTAATTCGATCCTGTGGCGAGTTGCTCCCTAAACCAAAAACTTAACGTTCGACATATTAAAAGATGGCTAACCGAATGGTGACTAAGTCGGACTAGAAGTTTGGTAGCCGTAACTCGGATGAGAGTGTCAAGGGACTGAGTCATGGTGATGAGTTTATCAACAACAATCCTCTCTGTCACATTCTCCATCGCCAAACACTGTACAGCCGCCCACGTGTCTGCTACCATAGAGTTCACTCTGTGTAATGCTCGTAATAGCACCTGTTTAGCCTGACAAAACGATAAACTTGATAAGAGGTGTTAAATTTTACCGAAGAAATCTTTTGAAAGCGTTATTGAAGCAACTGGGAGCTAAGCTCAATGTGCAGGTGACAAGTTTCCATATTTTTTCCGGCAAAATTTTAAATAGAGGGTATTATGAAATCGTACTGCGGCGTCGTGACAGGCTCAGTTCAAATGATAGCCAACATAGTTGAATATGCGCCGGTTTTAGAGTTGCATGACAATTATAATAAGGTTTGCGATGTGCAGGAGAGCACTGCATGCAGCTCAGCTGCATGGCTTTGCGTTTCCCAATTTAATTCAGCAGAATTGATAACGCCGCGCATGTCGCTTAGCAACGCGCGCACTTAAAATTAAAAGATATTTATCGCGTGCGCTGTTTTCTTTAGGAAGTAGACCCTTTAGCATTGTTTAGATTGGGTACGTGGGTTGGCGTGCAAAATCATAACTTCATAACATACTGGGTACACCTCGTGGCTCGTTTATAACCACAGTTTGAGGTTTTTCATGTCAGCCAGTTGCTTTTTTATGCTAGTAGTCTATGTTTCTGCTACGTTTTTAGCTACATGAAACTGATTAGAAGTTTAATAGTGTTTAGCTGGCGATGACTGAACGAATAGTTTCTACTAATTGATGTGCAGCTATTTTGAGTTTAACCGGTTGTCAGTATTCAATTGTAGTGGGTGATAATGGCAAAGAAAATAGTAATAGTATCATATTATTATAACACCTACAAACCTGAAAATTTACTCATTTTAATGAGATTTTCCGAAACGAAAATTTATAGTTTTTTAATCTTTTATTTCGGGACGATGTGATAAAATAAAATAACTTAGATATGAGTCTCTAGTAGCAAAGATTTGTATTCTTAACGTTTCAAATATTTTTGTGTTTCGTACTTTGGTATGATAAGTGAATCAGATTTTGAAAATTCGGGTTTCTATTTCCAATTCTAACAAGCAATTTTTTAATTGCACGAATTTGTGGCTTTAAGGGGGCCGGGGGGGTCTTCATCAAAATTCTCTCGAAATCGACTTTATAGTTGTTTCTGATAGAGGGGAGTGATATCTATCAGCTGCTTTTGGTCCCATGGAAAAATATTGTTCCTAGCCGAAATTATCGCTGGTCAAAGGTCAGCGCTTATGTGTAATTGTATTGCGCGAGCGATTTTCAATCGCGCGTTCTGAAAATCGAGTCTAAAAATCTATCTTCTCCTACATTTTTTGAGCAATCCCCCTTAAACTTTCAGGATATGTTCTTTGGATCAGTAAGAAGAGAACTCTAGAGCCAGAATTTTGAGATAGGCCTTTAAAGATTTTTAATCCGATTTTGAAATTCTTGGACCTCTAAAAATTAAGGTCCAAGAATTTCAAAATCGAATTAAAAATCTTTAAAGGCCTATCTCAAAATTCTGGCTCTAGAGTTCTCTTCTTACTGATCCTAAGAACATATCCTGAAAGTTTGAGGGTGATTGCTCAAAAAATGTAGGAGAAGATAGATTTTTAGACTCGATTTTCAGAACGCGCGATTGAAAATCGCTCACGCAATACAATTACACATAAGCGCTGACCTTTGACCAGCTATAATTTCGGCTAGGAACAATATTTTTCCATGGGACCAAAAGCAGCTGAAAGATATCACTCCCCTCTATCAGAAACAACTATAAAGTCGATTTCGAGAGAATTTTGATGAAGACCCCCCCCCCCCCCCCGGCCCCCTTAAGAATACCACAGTATGAAATAAAGTGAGGAACTAACCCGTTCGTTAGAAGCACCGATAGCGAGAAGAGTAACAGCAGAGGAGCACTGCACTCTGTCACTCTTATCAAACAACAACTTCTGCAGATTATCAACAACCACGTGGCCCGTCGACCTAGGATATCATTTGTTATCAGACTGCAACATATTCACGAGTATAGTTGTGGAGAACCAATAGTGGTTTAAATAATACTACATGGGGGCCAAAAGTCAGTACCCATACGTTGGCCTTAATAGCTCAGTCACTGAGTGCCCAATTGAAATAATTCTTTCTGGTATGACTTACTACCACCACTGGTTCGAGGAATTTGTCAAATCGAAAAATATTCGTGTTCATTTTTTTCAAATGAAGGTTCATTTTCGCATTTATTTGATAGTTTGGATAGTCGGATCGAGCCAAATTTTATTGAATTTTTTTTGGTCATTTAAATTACGTTTGTCCTGAAACAATGAGAGTTCTAGCTTCTTAGATGACCGAGATATGAAGCATAACGAGTTTGTTCATTACGTGTGATCAGGTGACTGGGTTAAAGCTAGAATCTAGATCTGCATTATGGGAATCGTGCAGAGAGCCCAATTACGGTGTAGTAATTGGGTAATCATTGATTACCCAAACAATTTTGATAACGAGATAAACAAATTGCTTGATAAACTTCGTCATTTTAAATCCGTTTCGCACCATCTTTTCAGATTATATTCCGGATTAAATGACCTATAATATGTTACAACGGAGTCTCTAACATGTTCACAAACACGAGTTTAAGCAATTCAATGTTAATTGGGTGTGGCCCCCAAAAATAGAATTTTCAAATTTTGGTGACGGAATCCTCGAACAAGTGGATACAGTATTCCATCTGCAAAGCAACAACTCTCAAATATAAAACACTGCGGTGGTATAAGACCCAACGTATGGGTACTGACTTTAGGCTCCCCCGCCCTCCCCCCCCCCCCCTGTAATATCATTTATTTGAAGGTAACCTCTCTGGAGAATCAATAGTAGTTTACAATAATACTATGAAAATTAATTTGAAGGTAACCTCTCAGTGGAGGAAGCAGCAATGGAAGGGCTGTAAGTTCTGTAACCACTTATTGGAACATCATCACCGTCCTCAACATCGCTCTTCAACTCCGGCTCCTCATCTGTAATGTAACAGGTAAATGTAACAGGTAATGTAACAGGTAATGTAACAGGTAATGTAACAGTTAATGTAACAGGTAATGTAACAGGTAATGTAACAGGTAATGTAACAGGTAATGTAACAGGTAATGTAACAGGTAATGTAACAGGTAATGTAACAGGTAATGTAACAGGTAATGTAACAGGTAATGTAACAGATAAAAACAGATCTTAAATCATCTGTCATGTTATATTGTTATGATAGCGGAACCGAGTGAAGTTTATCTTGTGGTAAGATAAACTTTAAACACACAAAGTTCGCGTAGCTAAATGCCAGTTAACAGAGTAGCATGTTTTACAAAGCCACTCACCCAGGTCCCAGTCTGACCGGAATCCCAGAGCAGCTCCACAAGCTATAGCTGCCGTGTAATGCAACAGGTAATGTAACAGGTAATGTAACAGGTAATGTAACATGTAACACTCACCCAGGTCCCAGTCTGACCGGAATCCCAGAGCAGCTCCACAAGCTATAGCTGCCGTGTAATGCAACAGGTAATGTAACAGGTAATGTAACAGGTAATGTAACATGTAACACTCACCCAGGTCCCAGTCTGCCCGGAATTCCAGAGCAGCTCCACAAGCTATAGCTGCTGTGTTATGCAACAGGTAATGTAACAGGTAACGTAACAGGTAATGTAACAGGTAACACTCACCCAGGTCCCAGTCTGATCGGAACCCCAGAGCAGCTCCACAAGCTATAGCTGCGGTGATCCTCACATGTTCACTAATATCTTTCATATCCTGACAGTAGTTTACAAAGTTAAAAACAGTAAGTACTAAAACAGTAAATTGGTAATCTTTCTTCGCTCTTTTGAGTAGGTCGATCATATAGTTTGATAGTTGGTGACGTAGTGTCTATGACAAAGGCGTGTTGCTGAAACGTCGACAACTAATTATTTGAAACAGTGAGTGGAGACTCTCACTTCGTCACCAACTATCAAAGTATAAAAGAGTAAATATTAAGAGAGTAAGTATTAAAAGAGTAAACTTTAAAACATTGAATCTAGATAAGTTGGGTGCACTTTAATTTTTAAAATGATAATATTATTCCAAATAAATTTACCACAATAAGATTCTCCAGACTACTATCTCTCCACTTGTTATCCAGATACCACGTGGTACGCCAGGTAGACAGCGCACCCAGGAGCAAGTCGTGTGTCAGCTCGTCACTGTCCAGCAAGTTGTCGGAGAGGCCGGGTGTAGTGCGCTCGTCTGACTCTGACGTCATGTCGTTCAGAACTTGACATTGATAGGTCGTCTTGCAAATTATTAGGGACAATTAGTATAAGGTATAATCTGGTGATTTCAAATTATTAGGGACAATTAGTATAAGGTATAATCTGGTGATTGCAAATTATTAGGGACAATTAGTATAAGGTATAATCTGGTGATTGTAGGTCGTCTTGCAAATTATTAGGGACAATTAGTATAAGGTATAATCTGGTGATTGAAATCAGTAAACAATATTGTTGCATTATTCACTGTAGGGAGAACTGAACAACACACAAAAAGAGAAGTGCAATAAGACCATACTATGATAAGATGTGGGTAGTTTTTCCAAGGTCTGGCTCCCTTGATGGGGACGTTGAGACGTTTGTGTAGTTGTTTAGGGGGACCCCACGTGGTGGGTTGTTGGGGATACAGCGGGATCAGATCCCGTTTGTATTGGGTCTGTGTGTCGAATATAATCTTGCTTCTGTTGCCGGGATGGTGTATAGATAACTTACCTGGAGCAAAGTGTCATGATTTCATTAAGGACCCGGCTTTCTTTTCTGTTTTCCATGGATATGGAAAGGTAAACAAAAACATACTGATTCAGTAATTTTTGAAGTATAAAGATTAAAGAACTGAGACCTACCTTGAAGTATATCTTCAGTGAACGGCTCTATGTCGTTCAGTATCTTATGCCTGTTATAGTTGCTACTAATATATCTATCATCTGCCGGCTGGTGCTCCCTTTTCCTCTGAGCTTTTGTCATGAACTTCTCCATGTAGTTTCTTTGCAGAGGCTTACCTGAGTCTAAGTTGTCAACTTTAGATTTCGAGGAGTGGAAAACATTGCTTTGCAATCCTTGTTTGTGGTACAATGTATTCCCAATGAATATTCATACAATTGATAACATGATACTTTGTGAATTTGTGGTAACAGTTATTTTCAGATTTATATGACAAACTAGACATTGTACCTAAGTAAGCAGGATAGTGCTCCTCCTCCATTACGCTAGGTTTCTCCTCTTTAGTCTTGGTAACAACTGTTTCCTTGTCTGACTCTGACAATACAAAACTGGAGAGCGACACCTTGCTAGAGTCAGCTTCTATACCGTGCTTCCTGGTACATACTTCAGTTATAAACCATGTGTGGTCTGTGCAGTTGATATGTAAACAATATGTGCAAATATGATTGCATGATATGCTTTTCATCGAGTATATTTTAAATGTGACTACAAATACCTCTCAACAAGTATTGGTTCGACCTCCATGAACTGGGTCTCCTGGAAAATAATGCTATCTACCTCATCTTTAGCATCACTTAGTACCTGTAGAGTGTAGAGGAGCTTGTTAATTAGCAGTATCTTCATACTAAATAAAGAGACTGATGATTTTGATTCATTTTAAGGAAAAAATTTGTTTCTCTGATATCAAAACTATAAAGAAATTCGTGCCCAAAGATTAAGATCTGTTTTAACAATACAGTACATATTAAAAAAAAAACCAAACACGTGTAAAACACGTGTAAAAAAACGAGACCTTCTGCTGAAGCCTCTCCCTCTGAAGACCATGAGAATGTCGATTCACAATGATGTCTGCTGTGTCAAAACTCAGTTTATTGAGGACATACTCGTCCCATTGAGTAGTTGATGCTGCAACGCTTGTCTGCGCTGCTATGCTCTCCTCCTCTTGTACCTGCTCAATTTTAACATAGAACTAGAAGAAAACATATAGCTGAACACCAACAAATGTAACTGATAGTGATGTTCAGAGTATCATAATAGCTATTTTGTTTCTTTTAAATTTGTGATGGCAATTATTCAGTTAAACAAAAATTTGTTTATAAGATATTTACCAATACCTCCCGTTCATCTCTAGGGAACCTCCATTATATAATTTACCTCGAGCCAATTAGGATCTTAAGAACTGCTAACTAATTCCATTGCCTGAATTACATGCTTAACAAATTGAAACACATCAAACTCACAACTTTTTTGAGGTAAGGCTTAACAGGGTATGCTTTGGTTCTTCTCAAGTCGACATTTTCAGCAGGAACTGAAAATATTTAACCCTAAATAAGGTGATGATCTCACTTTACAAAATGTTATTATAACCATTCGAGATTAAAATAGATTATTAAATCTTATGATCAGTTATAATTCGAACATTTTATCTCATTTAAAAAATCATTTATGGTTACATTACCAGTCAATGCACAAGGTAAATGTGGTATTGGGTCTCCAATAGCATTGTGTCTTCCTTGTATTCCTTTGTTGACGACACTTTTCTTTGATGACAGCAAAGTCTTGGGTGCACTGTATATATCTCTAGCCCTAATCTGTTCAAATCTCAAAGCAGAAGGAGCACTTTCAGAAACGACATCTCTTGAAAAGTTCAAACCAATGTTCAGGACGTCGGATGTAATCATCAGAAGCTCTCTGGGGTATTGTCACTGATTCCGAAGACCTTCTGGATGAAGGGGCGAACTTCACCGTATTAGTAGATGTGGCTGGCCTGAATGATTCATATGTTCAGACCTACTGTAAATTGAAGCTAGATTTACATCCAGAGTTGAATAAATTTTAGTCGTTTGATTGATTGCCTTAAAAGTTACCCACGAAAATAAACGTCAGCAACCTAAGTGAGACAAACATGAGATTAAAAGTTCAAAATATGATTTTTCAAGTTAGACTTTAAGTGAACTTTATGGAATGGGAGACTTTGTTAAAACAGTATCCATTCTAACCTGGATTTTTTGAGCTGAGTTTTTCTACTGGCACTGAAGGCAGTTAAAGGGGGAGGAAGACCCACATGCATCATTAGTTTCCCTTCTGGGCTCATCATACCTTCTGCATGCATGATTTACTTCACAGGAACTGAGTGTCGTTCCCATGAAATATTCTTTACATCTTCCTACATTAATAGTCAAACAGTAGATCAAAGTTTGTCACACTGATGGAACAGGGGGTCCCGTGCAAGGTGTGAAAAAAGGTGTGTCATGCACAACTGTGAATGATTTTGAACTTCTTAATCAATAAACGATAATCAAAACTGTAATCGATAATTGACAAATTAAATGTAAAGCATGACATACTATACTATTGGACATTAGAATATGTCCTTCCGGTAGGAAGAGATTCGAATTTCGGATCTCTGCGACCCAAATTTCAATGAAACAATAAGTTTTCAATGAAACAATAAGTTTTATTTTACATTCCTTTCATAAATAAAATAAGAGCTTAAACCACGAATTAGTTAACTAGAAGTAAACTTGAGGAAATATTCTTTAACTTGGTTCTATATAATTATTTAAAAAACTTTATTTGTTAGCAATTTTATTATGGAAAGTGGTTGAATTTAGTGAGACAAGGTCAGTTTCTCTATTGTCTTAGAAAAATTTCTACTTTACAGTAGGCAATGCTGAGTGGCAGGAATGACAGACCAAAACGCTTGGGGCTAACAATGGCCCATTTACAAACCACTTCAGACATGGCAATGATGTCATTTATGCTTAATTCATCTGAAACTGACCCTACTGCACTTCTAACATTCTATACAAATCTCCTCTAGAATAGGTATAAAAATGCATAACACAAAACACACATAAAAATGTTAATAATCCTTATATAATAAATTTCTATAAAACTAATAAACCTATATTATATATTCATTTTGCACCCAGAGAAAGATGTGATCACAGAGGTAGTTTCGATATTATGTTCATGACAAGGTATGGGGCTGCTGCAAGTTATATTTTGCTAAGATATTACCACTTTTTCAAGCTTAAGTAATCTAGGCAAGGTCAATTTTAAAGTTTTTGAATTTTGTAGAACGCTGTTTAAGGCTAAGTTCCAGTCATTTGGTTCTCCTTCCTTTTGAGTGTGAGTGATGGTGATTCTTATAAATGATTTGAGGTGATTGGGCTTATAAGTAAAACAAAAATTTTAAGTAAAACAAAATTTAAATTTTATTGCCATTACACTGAATAATGATATCATAATAAATATAAGTAGACATCCGATAATAAACTTGTTACATCCAGTACAACCCAAGATGTCAGCCGACGCGACTTACAAAAATAAAGAAAGCTAGCATGTTATGTTCATTATTCATAGTTTTTCTAACGAGCATACTTAGCACTTAGGCTGTACGGAAATAGCTTTAATTCTACGTCATATTAAAAACTTTACATCATTTTTGAGATACAAAAATAAATTTTAAAATAAATAACTCTTTTGCTGCTTAGGCGCGGCACCGCGCTTGACCCACATGCTATACAGTGTGTAGCAACACATCGCTGAAAACAGAAGATGAAGGAGCTATAACATATAAGCAGTGCGCCGCGCCTAAACCTAAAACCATAAACTTTAAATATTGTCAAGATATTAAACGAGTTTTGCAAAATAATATAGCATGCTGACTTCGTAGGATATTATCAGCACGCGGCACTAATAATATGAAGTTCATTATCGAATTTTAGATATGCCCTGGATCGTTTAACACGTATATAAAAGGTTATTAAAGAATATTTAATGTTTGGTTGGTATAAATCGATATTAATCAATTATTTAAAATAGTATTTATGTTTGTTATTATTAACTATTGAGTTGCGTTCGATTTAAATATTAAATATTAAAACACTACTACAATACATTTCACAGGTGAATGTATTCAGTCACTTTTTTAAAAATTTTTTAAAGAGAGGCTGGGCCAAGATAGCCCACGAGAGGATAGCATTGAGATGCTCTGCCTACCTCTGGGGTGTGGCAACCCTGGGGAAGGTTGCCGGTGAAATCAGAGTGAATGGTGGAGGATGGTGTAAGAAGTGATATGAGTCAGAATGATACGCTTAAATGCCAGCTGGGTTTGGAAAAGTAAAACGAGACGAGACAGCATATGAGATAATACTTTAAGTCACCCCGGTCTGATCCAGCTCTTCCGGCACAATTAAGCGATTGGTGCGGTTTGCGAAATTGACAATTGTGGTGATGTGTTGGTTGTCGAATATGTCATTGACAGAGAGGTAGTAGTCCTGGAAATATTGACCTCTAATTTGGGCAATAGCCGGACACTGTCCAAGGAAGTGTGAGACAGTTTCCTCTCCGTCGCCGCACATAGGACAAGCACTGGTGTTTGATTTGCAAATGGTGTGAAGGTGTTTGTTTAAGCCGCAGTGACCCGTGATGAGGTGAACTGCAGTTCTGTAATCTTGTCTGTTTTTGCTGAGTGTAGTGTTGAGGTTTTTGATGATTTTGGCGTGCTTGTGGCCGAGTGTCAGTTTGGTGTGTCTGGGACCGTCAGTTAACCAAGTTTCCTGATTCAGTCTGTTGACTTTGTTGTCGATTTTGTTAGAATCTTAATTCTATTTGTAGCTTGTTTTTGTACTTCATATTACTAACCCTGTATCTCACTTTAGCAAAGGTTTAGTTCCAGTGATTGTATATACAGTGTTGGGGTAAAGGGACTCCAGAAGGCAGACAAGGCTCGACTCCAGACTCTAGTTGAAGTAACAGAAGAGAGAGGAGTGTCCAGTGTTTAGTTGACTCCAGACTCTAGCGTAGCAGAAGGGAGAGGAGTGACGTTGTCGACTCCAGACTCTAGCGTAGCAGAAGGGAGAGGAGTGACGTTGTTTTAGTGATCCCACAGATTCCAGTCGACAGATACTATCTGTGTTCTGTGACGTGGAAAGAGTGGTAAGTAGTTTATAGTTATAGTTTAGTAGTTTAGTCTAGGAGTTCCCGCTTCCTCTTTCACTTTCATTTATAGTTTCACGTGGATTACCTTTCACTTTACTCACGGTAGTTTTCCCCCAGGGTTTTTGTTTTATAGTTATCAGTTCCAGTTTTACTTGAAGTCCTCATCATTCAGAAGTCCCTCATATAGTAAGAAGAACATCATCATCAGGAGTAGTAGTTTTAATTTAATAGTAGTTTAATCTAATAGTAAAAAAGACATTGTTTAGTTTAGTATTGAAATGTGTTTTAACTATTAGTCAGAGCAGAGTAGTGTGAGTTACTGAGTCACACCATATCAATCATTCACTATTTAAGAGAGTACTTTGTAGAGTAACAAGGTTACTTTTGACACAAGATTTGTATAACCTCTTTATTCATCTAATTTGTATTTATAATAATTGAGTATTATTTGTTATTTAATTAACCCAAGAACAGGGTTCCAACAGATTTGACGCTTGATGTAGGATTGTGGAATAGGACACTTCAAAGTGGATTCAATGATTGTACCAAGCTTGGCCAGCTCATCTGCTTTTCGTATTCAGTCACTGTTTGACTGAATTTTTTAGAATGACCATTTTACAAGGTCACTGAGGATGGCACAAGACACGATTGAGGCACTCAAAGATCTATTCCCAAAGAAATCTTTGATAAACGGAAAATCATCAGAATATAAAAATGGATTTTGGAAGATTTTTAAAGAGGAGCTTTTCTGCCGTCCACGTCCCCTTGATCGTAATCTCAAGGTTTTTACTGAAATTTTGACCAGTGACCAACCAGTGAGGTCGGTGAGAGTAACACAAGTCGCCATCAAGGTACTGGAACCAATATATTCGGATGAAACTTTGATGCAATGAACATTTTGAATATGTCCTGCCGGTACGACATTTTCAAATTTCAGCTTTTCACAACCCAAATTTAACTGCTTTGACTGAATTTTTCTTCAATGACCATCTTACAAGGTCACTGAGGATGGTACAAGACACAATTGAGGTACTCAAAGTTCTGGTACAAGACACATTTTAGGTATTCAAAGTTCTGGTACAAGACACAATTGAGGTACTCAAGTTGGAGGACTTCGCCGCTTCGACGCGCCGCGCGAACTAGCATTCGACGTCGTCGATCGTTGCTCTGCTTCGCAGAGCAACGATCTCGACGGATTGACATCGTCAATCAAGTACTCAAGCAAAGTTTTATTCCCAAAGAAAGCTTTGATAAACGGAAAATCATCAAAATATAAAAAGATATTTTGGAAGATTTTTGAAGAGGAGATTTTTTGCGGTCCCCTTGACTGTAATCGCGCGGTTTGACTGAAATTTTGATCAGTGACTGGGCCGGGCCGTGCCACGAATCTTTTTCGGTAGATCGGCGAAATGCACGCACCACTGGGCCTCGCTTGACATACGTTGCATGCCACTTTTCGCGCGCGAAGCGCGGAAAAAGGGGCATACCATGAAGGGAATCGGCCTTTTTCGAGGGACGCATATTTTGCGGCCCTATTATCCTATTTGACCAAATATGGAAGTAATTGACTGAGATGGCGCGCGCGCGACACCAAAACAGTTAAATGCATTGTTTTTAACCAAGTTGCAATATTTGGGAAATTTATTTGGTGCCTTCACAGGATAGACCTGCCATTAAAAAATTTAAGGGGTTCTGAGTCCTGAACTGTCGAGAGAACGAATTGGTCCTCTCAGCCACGCAAGGTGGATTATAATGCAGTAGAGTTAGTTATATTATCAATATTTACTTACCGCTTGATTTGAATATGAAGTATAAAAGCTCATTCCGAGTTGTGTTTTATGAGTAAGCTCTAGATGGTAGCATATTTATTTTAAAGGGATTAGATTTATTTATGTTTTGTTTTAGAACCATCTACTTCTGAGCTGCCCTGTCAAAATTAAAAGGGTGTATAGGTTGTCCCGGCAAAAGCCTCCTTAAATTATTAATGGACGATCCTAAAGACCGTAATTTGGTCATGAACACTTCAGAAGAATTGAATGAAATAAAGGATATTGCCCGCTGTAAACAATGTCGGAGGAACCGTTATTGTAGCTTTTGCCCATTTTACGGTGTGAAGATGTTTTTACCATGGTAAATTCGGTACACGTACTCAAGTTCGACACGCACTCTAGTTCGTCACTTACTGTAGTTCGACAAACCCTGAGGTTCGACTCTGTCGAACTAAAGTGCTCTATCTGGACTCAAGTTCGATACGCACTAAAGTTAGACAAGAGAACTTTGACTGTCGGACTACAGTTTTGAAATCTCCAATATCCAGCAACGATCCTTTACGAGCTTGAAATCTATTCGTTTGTTTGTTTTCCACTTGTCTCATGCTGTTCAATTATGTGTTTATATAATTTCTATAATCCATATCTATGGACATTTAATTGACCTCATACTTCATTGTTAGTTATTAGAATTGTAGGCTTAACGGAGAAATAAAAGAGTAACGTGGTAACTCTTACTTCGTATTGTAGATCTAGATTGTAGATTATGCTAGATAAGTACGTAGTTAGCTAATTAGTGATTCACTCCCGGCGCGAGAACAAAGCGCCAGGAAAATAAGACAATTTTTTGCGCGAACTTGTAAATTTACTTACGCCGCGCAGAGGTGTGCCTTTATGGTGTATCCATAATATCTCTGATATTTAGATACGAAACATGTATCAAGGCCTCGCCGACTTGCGAAGGATTGACATCGTGAATCAAGTTGTCCATTATTAATGAACTAGCCCGGTGCGCGCTACTTCGTCATTCGTAGGACTTGCCTCTGGCCATAACATTTCGAGAAGAAATTGTTGTAGGTTTACAACCTACCAGGACGCGCGCCGAGTTGGACTCGTCGACGGTCCAATATATGGAACAGATATTTTACGAGTATCACCCGTTAAAGAAATTGCGGCGCGCTACTTCGAAGAAATTTAGACGATGAACAGCCGTCAAGATAAGAGTCAAGTTGTAGAACTGCCGCGCACGAGCCCATAATAGGAAACCTTACCGGCTGGGGTCTCCAAAAGTAAAATAAATAGAAAATTAACTTCCGGTTTTCAACAAACTGTTTGTCTTGTAAAACTAAAGTTAGCTCCCGGCCCCAGGGGCACAATTTGAGCGATCCTTATAAATCGCTCGCCCAAATTTTAAGAAATTTTTTGCGAAAAGGCCCTTTGGGTGTGAAATTGATTTAAATCGGTGTATTTTTGAACGCTGATTCCGAAACACCCCCATGACTTGATTGACGATGTCAATCCGTCGAGATCGTTTGTCGTTGCTTTGCGAAGCATCGACGATGCGAAGCAAGAATGCTAGTTCGCGCGGCGCGTCGAAGCGGCGAAGTCCTCCAAGGATACTGACTTTTTGCCCCCCTGTAGTTCATAGTTATATTTTATATACAATATATATGCAATACACATGTACATACACAATACACACATTTTAAAAATCGCCTCGGTTTGATTTGTAGCGCGATGCGTTACTGTGCCGCGCCGCGCACTCAATGAGGCTTCTCACAGCGGCTAGATCGGCGAAATGCGCTACTGTGCCGCGCCGAGCTGCCATGAATTGACATCGTCAATTAACGGTTTGATATGATAGTCGGTCGCACAATTTAGCCAGCGTGCTATTTCCTTTGCGTGCATTCGTTTCACTTCCTCTACAACTACAAGAGAGGAGCGCGAGCCAGCTGGGTATAGCTATCCGCCTATATAGCTATCCGCCTATGATAGTATAGTAGTAGTACAGGTTGTAGCGCGATGCGTTACTGTGCCGCGCCGCGCACTCAATGAGGCTTCTCACAGCTAGATCGGCGAGATGCGCTACTGTGCCGCGCCGAGCTGCCATGAATTGACATCGTCAATTAATAGTACAGGTAATCGCACAATGCAATAAAACATTTTCAATTGGGTAACAAAAACAATAAATTCGTGACTGAACCGCATCAACAATCAATTGTTTCAAATGCAATTTCAAAGAAATAATTATAAAGTCGATATCTGATAGCATTAATGATTAAACAATCAATTAATTCAAGAAAACTGGCGTCTTGCCATTGCTCAAACATGAAACACTAATCTCAAAGTCAAACATTAATCTGTTCTAGTCATTCTGAACTAATCGATATTGATAACTCTTTTCAATTCTTCAAGTTATGTAAATGCCAGTTTCATAAGATTTATTCCTAGCTTGTCAACTGCTGACTGATTTCTGTTTTGACTTCCGATTCACGTCTTCTTCGCAGCTCGATTATCGTTCGAAGGAGTTTGTATTCTCAATGATAAGATTTCAGTACTTCATACTTCATGACACGTTACCAGCCAAGGTGGAGTTGTTTATTACTGAGGGCAGGGAGACCTGGTGGGATACTCAGTTACACTTTACACTTTACCCAAATCTGAGTAGTATTACTTACCATTAGTAATTAGGCGTAATAAGTCACATAAAATATTACATTATCACTGAGGGGGAGAGAGAGGGTTTCTAAATTATTACGTTTCTAAATTATAACGCTGGTGTAATTTTAACACGGTAGCTAGGTGCACTGTAAAACTGAGCACGAAGGGGGTGGGGTTAGGGGGGGGGGGGTGGGGTTAAATGCTAGACTCAGTATATAATTCGGCGAGATCAATTCCGACTTTGATATAGAATTAAGTGAGTGACAACTTACCTGAGTTATTGAACTGAGAGGATGCATGTCTTCCAGTGCTCTCATTGTTACATAGTCATTAGCTAATGCGTGACAAACAAACGCTTTGAGTGATCTGGAGAACCCTGAACCTCCCACCTGAATGAGTAGGGATCAGATATTTAGTACATTCTAGAAGTTATCATCATCACACTGTAATATGGTGGTTCATTAATGAGGCAGTAAAATTTTGATGATGAACTAGTAATCACAAAGAAACGACTTCATACCTGTATTCACCATTTATTACAAAACTAGACATAAGATTAAAAAGTGAAGAAGTAATTTGTTACCTGTTGACCCACCTGACTAAAAAGAATTGATCTAGCCGCGTCACTGTCAGTATCGAATATGGGGATGATATCGTGTTTGCTGCGCTTGTGTTTATTCCGACGGTTCTGGAACCACGTCTTTACCTGAGGGAGCCAGATTGAATATTTCTCGTATTGAAAATTTACATGATGAGATATAACATTCGCTGTGTGAAGTCGTTGAAGAGAAGTCGTTGAAGCAACGTTTTTTCGTTTTGCAACTTAAAATTTGATGTCGAAACTTACCTGGATGTCTGTTAGGTTAAGAAGTTGTGCCAGTTTTTTACGCTCGCTGCTAGCCAAGTATTTCTTGTGGTAGAACTTCCTCTCCAACTCAAATAACTGAGGAAATGATGTCAGGTACTATTTTGACTTACACCATCTGGTAGTGGTATAGATATCGCAGGACAATTTTGTAAGAATTATGGAAGGTTTTCGGTTAAATACCTGTAAGTTTGTGAAGCTAGTTCTGGGTTTTCGTTTCTTTTTCATTTTCCCGGAATTCTCTAGAATGTGTCTCTGATGCTGTTCATACAAACTCTCTGCTGCTTCCCTAACACTCCTTCCTTCATCTGAGAATATACAATCGTTACAAATCTGCTTTTAAAAGTTGTGTGGGAACGAAATTTGTATCTGATCTTCTCAGTATCGAATTTCTCGGAGCGACTTATACCATTTACCCCACTTGCAATGAATCTTTGCCCTGAAGCTAAGACCTAAACTCTAAATTCAAATCTATAGTGGGTGTCGACTGTTGATTCGTTAGTTTCAAAATGAATTCCGAGTAAAATAAATTTCATTTCGTAAACGGGGCAATTTCCCTTATATTAGTGAGAGATGGATTATGAAATAGGTCTCGGCAGAATTATCCAGAGTTTTCCATTCTTTAAGTTGAACAGGTGAATTTTGTGATTTCATCTAGAACTGCTGGCGCTGGCCATTAAATCATCAATCAAAGTGTCTTGTTTAGCGTGGTTAATGGCGCCAACTCTCCTCGGAGCCTTTACATAAATTTATAGAAAAGCAGGGTTCACAGTTAGAGTATGTTGGTAGGATGAATACTCCGAGGTTAAAGTCCTAATGTTAAATGAGTTACAGGGGCAGACCTTTTGTTCCTGCTAATCCCAGATCGCTGAGTCTCCATTAGGGAGCACCAATCAGATTTTAGATGGTGAGTATTTTTATTTAATTAAGACGGGCTCATATGGTGCGCTCTATTTTTCCAGTTAGCCTGAAAATCTTACAAACGTTACATCTCTGGTATTTACAAGTGACTTCTCCGGAAATATTGTTCGGTATACCGGGTATACTGAAGCCTGGTTTTCATCAGTAAATTTCACCTTGATTTAAATGAGGTAAGGGCCCTTACCTCATTTAAATCAAAGTAAGTAAATCAAAGAAGTAACTTCGAGTGGTATTTCACTGAAATCTAAAACTTGCATTTCACCCGGGTGAAATGCAAGTTTTAGATTTCAGTGAAATACCACTCGAAGTTACTTCCCATTATTTTGACATTTCATGTAACTCTCTAACCTTCAATACGTGACAATCAATTAAAATACTTAATAGATTATGCCATATTGAAATATACCAGTCAGGCAAATACCATTGGCTTTTTTAAAAAAATCTTCCCTGTCAATGATTTCCCAAATATTTTCAAAAACCAATTAAATTCAAGGGCTAGAAATAACCCGGTGTCGACTGATTTCAAGATTTGAAAATTGTTGTGTGATAAATTATCCGACAATTTACAAATTTCAACGGAGCGAAATATCACAAGACTTGACTACACTTACAGTGCACCGATTTAGAATTGGTGGTCTTTATTAGAGATTCTCAGAAACTGAAAGGTCAGTTTATCAAAATACACATAAAAATCAATCCAATTATTACCTGACTAATTTTAATCGTCTGCACGATTTAAAAAGGTTTAGTTGAGAACGTTCAGAGTTCCTAACGTATCGAGTAAAATACTATGTGGCTTTCTAAAATATTTATCGGAGATCTCAACCATACTTGTCAGAGAACTCATCTCAGATCGAACTTTTCACTCCATGACAAGGTACTCTGACTTTCTACTACCAGCCAAACAACCTTTTCTCAGATACCTATCAATTTGCACTGTAGATTAGAAGAACTCTGACTCAGCGCTACTAGGTATCACTCCGCACCTAACTTTGTACTGCTTATTCTCCTCCCAGCTCAGATCTAAATGAGGATTTGTCGTGAGGAGGAGTGGAGCCGAGGAGGCTGGACAATAGCGATCTCATAATCAGGAGTAGATCACGTGACCCAGGGTAAGAATTAGTGGGGTGACCGCAAGGGACACCGCGCTCCCCCAGTCAATTCATTAGGAGAAAGTGCACTATTGCTCGCTCTGCCACTTATACATTCAGACAATCTTTCAAATGAGCTTAACTTGGTTAGAAGATTTACCAGCATATATAGTATCCGCAGGGAAAGACAATTACTGCCACTAAGTAACGACAAATTAGTAATGCCTCGAAGAGTTCCCAAAGTCACAGTGACTACATATCTAATACTGCTTTCCTGTGTTGAACTGAGTGAAGCGTTCAATTTAAATTGAGGCGGCCCTTCAAATTAGTAATGCAATTTGTGATGTGGTATAAAAATTTACCCTCAAAATCACGCAATTAATGTAGGTAAAGTGAACGGTATGAATTGATCATGAAGATTCAGCATTCCCTCACATTTGAGATGCATTTGAAATGCTATTTTCTATTTCATGTTATGTGGCCAACAATCAAAATGATGTTATCAATACAACAATTATTGTTGTTTTCATGTGAATGTGGTCAGCGAAATTATAGATATGACTCAACATTAAAGATACTACATCTGTTTTTAATCCTTTATTCTCCATCTAATTAGACGTGTTAATTGAATAACGCCACGCTTTCTCACGCTAGAAAAAAGAACGAAAATACGTAACAGTCCCTGAGCAAGTAGTGCGGGAAAAAGAAGAGGAGACAAAGAAGAGGAGACAACCTAAAAATCATGTAAAATCATGTAAAATCATGTAAAATCATGTAAAATCATGTAAAATCATGTAAAATCAGGCGCAGACGATTCCAGATCATGTAAAAATATTTGCATCGGAGAGAAAAATCGGCTGTCCTGAGGACACGGGAATGTTTAGAGTGTGCTATTTTGCTGTCAGGATGAGACAAGAGTTCGAATTCAAGCAAAGAGCACTGATAGTCTAATAGGTGGACTTGAAAGTAAACGTTATATTATCAGAGGAAAACACCAAATTACCTTTATTCTTTGAAATACCGCTTATAGAGAAAACCCCGCTGTCAAGCAAGCTTCTTACTTCCCCTACCCTATCTACCTCTTAATTGATTGCTTGCTAGCCATAACCTAAACCACCGATTAAGAACCAGTACTGTGCGAATCACTAATTTACTAATTAATTTAATTATTTCTACTTTTAAAGTTGTTTTCTGAATCTTCATTCCACTGGGAAGTATGAACAGGGTTTTTAAATATAAAATTGTAATTGAGTATCATTAATGTTTGATGTTGGTGGGGAAATATTCATATATATTTTCGTAAATCTTATAGTGTGATGATGTTTAGAGTTCAAACTTTATAATTCTGTATGTGCTTTGTTTCACTGAAACAAAACTTTCAGGCTAAGGAAAATTTTTAATGTTTCAATGTAACTACATCATATTTATGTTCTCAAATTATTTGTTATATTGTAGTGTTGAGCTCTAAACATCAAAACAATGCTACTGATAAACAATGTTCCTATCTGTATATTACATGTGATGGTGTGATGTGATAAATTTGACTTTTACTTTCACTTTTGAAATATTGATGGGATGACGAAAATAATTAAACATGTGCGGTGACAAAATTAAACATTATCATTGTCAGAGTTGCAGTATAAACTTGTTGCAGTATAAACTTGTTGCACCCCCTCCCCCCAGTGATTATGACTGTGATCGGGTACCTGAGGATATGAGAGATCGTGTCCCGGAGTCCAGAATATCCTCTATCATGAAGGAACGACTTTTAACAGGAGTAACACTTTGGATCATGCTGATTTTGAGATTGTCCACCATATTTATTCTGAGAGTACCTTCCTGAATAATTATTAAGTTAATATACCGTGTGAATAAGCATATCAGTAAGCTAGCTTGAATTTATTATATCAATCATTGACAATACAAAAGCTCAAAAACTATACAATTCTCAGATCAACAAAGAGAAGAGTTTGATAGACTCAAACGATATGTTCAGAATTAGAACTAACTGAAGCTGGTATTGATCAATCAACTGAAAGTTGAGTCAAATTCGTAAAATGTTGCGTGAAAAGTATATTAAACAAGGTAAGTCTGTCTTAATAACATTAACAAAGGCCCACTAAAGTTCGAACCAGAAACTTTTAAAGAATAATTTCATGGAGTGAAGTGGAAAGTGAAATTTTTCGAGGGCAGAAGATAATAGATAATTACAAATCATTAGTACGATCCACGTGATAACCAGTTACTTAATACTTAAATATCCCCGCAAGAGACAGGAAATTACCATTTAGAAAGTACTATAACTAAGTCCTGATTAAATGATTCCGAAATTGTAAAACTTCTATCACATTCTGATGTGGTTTGTCAGGAGGCGATGGTAAGTAAAATGAGATGATAATAGTTTCTGATGAGCAGGTATTGACAATGGATCTCACAAAATGTCCGTCTTTAACGTAACCGATCAGTTTCGAGAACAAAACACCCTCACACTTACATAACATGTCTGAGAGTTAAATTATTTGTGAACAATAGTTTTTGTCATATAGAGATAATTTAGAGTTGGGTTATTATTCGGAACTCTACCAGTGTGTACGTGTAATGGTTAAAATCACAGTTTTTGTACTGATGAATATTCAAAATGGACACAATTAGGATGATCTCCATGTCTTTTTGAGGCTCATTGGAACTAACATCATAAAATAAACGATTTGCAAATAAAATGAAAGATCCAACCTTAGAATTTAAGTCGGAAACTATAATCAAAACATGATTCTGTTCACTAACTTTACCCAGAGACCAGCTTGAGCCACTCCTCAAAACTGAGATTTTGAAGAAAAACAAATTAAAAATTAAAAATTTGGCTTTAGCTGGGAGTGGGTCGGATAAACAGAAGTCAGTTTTGAATGCAAATCAAGAGCCCTCAAAGTAGGTTAAGTTTCAGCTTATCGAAAGCGAAGATTTATGCTTTAAGTTTAGCTAAATTATTGAAACGGAGATCGAAACCCAATCCATTAAAATATAAGAAACGAGTTCAAAAAAAATTTAACGATATCAAATTTGCGAATCGACCAACAACCATTATTTGAGAGTTATTGCATCAACAGTTCAGCAGTCTCACCCCAGAGCTCGCGCTGTGACGCGAAACCAAGTTACCATCAGCGCTATAGTTAAATGGAAAATATCCCCAATTAAATTAGTAATCGCTGCGAGTACTGGTAGAGGAGATGTCAAAGGGGTCAACAGTTAGGGGAACAGGAATCACGGAGACTCATGTTAATCTGCTACAAATGGACTCTATGCGAGTAATGAAGTTTGTTGCGAGTTACAGGTGCTCTAAAGTTAACTAAATATTTTATTGATCTATTAAGGTTTTAACGGTTGAGCCGGAACGAGGAATGGAATATGCCCACCTCAGCAACTTATTGTAACTTCACATTCTTTCACAGTACTATCACAGCCGGCCAATTTCCATTACCAAACTCTCCTGTTTGAAATTTCAAACTTCCACTAAAACAGATGAATCAGTAAAATTTGCGAACAAAACTTGGGGGAAATAATGCAATTAGTTTTGAACGATGGTTTCAAACGCAATGAGGACTCAGAACGTTTTGCCAACAAAGTAATGGAAACAAAAGAATTAAATTTGTACACAGCAGGACTCGAATAATTGGAATATGTACGTAGATATTAACTTATGATTTGAAAGTGTATTCAATTCCAATGAGGCTACAATGCAAAGTGATGTTAGATTAAACGATTAAATAAATCACGAATAAAACTGTTGTGCGAATACCATACTCTTGTCTGTGTGCTACATAAAAAAGCAGGGATAGGAAAGTGAAGTACTTGGAAATGTGTGGGATAAAAGATAGAGTGAGTCGTGATGACCACCTGTGTGGCTGCCATCTGGATACGACTTATTTACCGTGATCCTTCAGTTCCACCAATCAGAAATGTGAACAGCAAACTTTGGTTCAATATCATGATGGTTGGTATTTGGAAATAAATGGTCAAAGACGCGAAACATACCCTTGATATCCGCATAATAATAATAATTATAAGTGGGATGTGAACTAATAAGATTATATTTATAAATTATAAAGCTTGCCGAGTGCTTGACTCAAACTAACGGCCTCAAATAGGACATAATATCGGGACGAAACATCTGATGAAGTAAAACTCTAGAGTACCAATGACAACTGACTTATATAGTGTCGAGAAGATTGAGTGATCCACGCCCTTCTCCTAAAACAATATACGTTTAGGTAACGCAACAGTCGCGTCGCTAAATTAACCAATTTAGTGCGTTTTTATTCTTATTTTCAATTTTCATTATGCACGGTTGAGGGCTGAACCATAAGTGAGGAGGACCCAATGGGAAGCAACTGCTAAATCACGTGAGCAACAACTTGCTAAGCACTTGTTTATCAGGCAACACACGTGGCCTTGATACCTGCTTCTTATTGGCAGATCCACTGATTTCTGGCATGTCATTGGTAGCCACATTAAACGCTAGGAGATAAACTGAGAACAATTTTAAACGGACAAGACTGTCAAATTATAGAAATTGAAATCGGATTAAGTATGTCTGAAAGATGATTGAGTTTTGGCATTCAAAATATTACGTGGTGATCACAATCAACGAAGGGATATGCAAAATTAACCGCAGTTATTGTTTTCAAAGATTAAATACCTGAGAAAAGTATATCCCATGGCTGCATATTTTCGTCTAATGCCACGGTTGAGAACGAAATTTAATTCATTTTCTTGATCACATTTACGATAAGCAATCTGTAGAGCCAATCATCAAAAAGCATCGTGAGATCGAGACATAGCATTTCATGAATCAGCAATGCTTCCTAAGGCCTAATACAACGACCTAACTTAGGACTTACTCTCATAGTTAGACTCTCTTAGACTCACTCGGATCAAGAAATAGTAGGACTGGACATAAATGCCTACTAAGGTTCAAAACGTGGTATTTGCTTTGCCGAAAATGGGCCGCCTTCATTGAAAATAGCTGTTTTATGAAAAAGTACTATAAATGAAACTAAAATAGAAATCACTTCACAGTAGGGTAAGTCACAGCAAGAATTTTTTAAACGCCAATAATCTTATTTTTAACAAAATCCTGTGTGAGGAGACTTAAGAAGTGTTAAGAAAAATATAAATTTTAATCGTTTAAGTTCCCAAATGATTGCACGCACGAAACTTAAAATTGGTGAATAACCTTCACTTTCGATAGTTTCCTCGTTAGATAATGCTGCTAAAGTCCTCATTATACTTTAATTGTCTTATTAAACACCTATGTAAAATGGAATTGTTAGCGACCATATAAGGAAATTAAGAACAGAACATGTCAGGCTAGAACCTGATCATCGCTGAAAGTTTTTGTTCTCACAAAACATGGCGTCCAATAAACTCAGTCAAACTGAAACTGACAGATCAGTATGAGCAATCAGCAAAACCATAACGTGTTCAAATGATCTGCTCGTAAGCTCTGACAGTGCTCTATTAATTTGTTTACAAACAAACGCACGTGGCCGCGCACACCTTGCGCGCGTCCATGCAATAAAGACACGTGCCGCCTGCCTAGCAACCAATGGACCATTTTACCACACCTTAGCTTGACAAGCTGAAACGAGAGGCGAGGTTTGACATGTGACAGAGCGTGCAGCACGTACTCTACAAGAAAATGCTATCTACTATTCTACTTAACTTGTTGATTAAATGGCAAAACTCCTCACGCTCTAAACACATAATGAGATAGCTCTCTGAGTTTACAACTAACAAGGACCTGGAGTAGTAAATTATCGGACAGTAAGTTATAACCTGTGGTGATTGTTCAATGTTCAGCTAGAAACTGAGAAGAATTCATTGCACTCCTCCAGACCTATCCACCGGACCGAAATCCTGAGGTTCTGTTATCGTCTCTGCTTCCCACAAGAGCCTGCGGTAGAGCAGTAGATTGACGTATCACAGAATCTTAACGAGCTGGTTATCTGGTTCCAGCTATGAGTAAAACCCTTGGTGCGCATCCTCGAAATCTAATCTGAAAGTATGGAAGTGAGTTGCGTTGTGTGAATGAGTTAATAAACCGGAATTTGGGTTAAATAAAAGGAGTGGAGAGCTGTTTCAATATACTTCCAGTAAAACGAGCTATTAAAATACCCATTAAGGTCGATTAAATCGGATCGTGTTGATCTTCGTACGCTGAAATACAGCTTGCTCCTTCGTTCTACTTCTAGTTCTAGTCTTAACCACTTCTCCCCATGTGTAGAGGTGTAGGAGGGTTGCCATGTCGTGTGATGTGGAACAAGTTTTAGTCATTTCCCTTAGAATTAGATTGTCTGTGTTCGTAGTGGCTCAGATCTCAGTTAACGACAAAAAGTTCAATGAACTTGCTGAACGAGAAGGCATCATAAGCTGAGGTGCATTTTTTGTATTTTAACAGCTTTTGGTCAAAAGAAGTGGTTGTAAGTCGGTGCTATCTATATATAATTATAAACTGTCAGCCAGAACTGCGTGTACTGTATACTACAGTATTAGTAATGTAGTACAAGCAGTGCTGTCTAACAACCAAGTTACCCGTGGTCCAAGCTGGTACAATACTTTATATTGGAACTGATGTCCTTATTGGTATCACTATCCCATTTTATCTTGTTAAAATTAAAAACTCCTGTTAAAATGTTTATCATCTTAAAGAACTACACGAGAAGTTCCTCGAAGATCAAATTATGCAAGAGATCATCGACCAAAAATATGAGAACACATTGTACGTATCCCTCACTGGCATTGATACAATTATTTAAATGTTTGACGTTTATTCTGATTTTTCGAGAAAAC